AGAGACTTGTATCGGTGCTTAGTAATATTCATTTAATTTTATAGAACAATGACACAATGTGGTGAAACATGGACTCAGACTCAGGTTACATCAACCTGGGTGCTCATGTAACCTAAGGCTACTTTCTCACAGTGATCTCATGGGTTTTTATCTCACTACTGCTGCTTTTTTCGTTTTTATCAGACATGCTCCTGAGCAATGTGCCTGAATCAGAATGAGATCACAGGACTAATGTCAATAAAGCCAAGAAGTCACTCTGAATCATTTTGGTGATGATCAAACACAAAAGCAAGGAAAGACATGAAAATAACTAGTACAAAATGTAAAATATTTTATTTCTAAGCCATTTGTTTTTAGATTATAATGTATTATATGCATTTTAGAATGTTTTTTTTTTGCCTGAACATTTCTGGATTATGTAACATCAGGTTATATCAAAACAATTTCTGTACAGATGTTTTTATTGACAAATAGGGCTTGACCATTAATCTAATTTATCTATTAAATCACTCTTACCTTTTAATAGATTTAAGTTTTGTAAAATATTAGGCTCCATAACTCAGAGTTACATCAGTTTATCAGTTTTTGTTCTTAGATGTATACTAGTAACTGATTAACTAGCTATGTGTATTACTATTCCTATTATTCTGAGCTTTATAAGTTCCTGGTGCCATAATGTCCTATATTTTGTTTTAAGGTGGACTGAGATATACTTTAATAAGTTCAATACATATATGTAACACCTTCCTACCATAAAATGCAACCCTATACATGTAAAATAATTATTTTGTGTACTTCTTTAACTACAACTTTCTTTATCTGCCAGGTCCCTTTTCATTTATTCCAAATTAAGTAATGAAATAAAAAAAATACTTTTAAAAATAATTGTTCATAGTAGTTCTTATCCAATTATTTTTTATGTAATATCAAAACATTTTTAATGCGGAAATTGCATAAGGAGCCAAGCTTTTAAGAAATCAAAACATAATTCACAGTATTTTAGTGAACAACTGCAAATCCTTCATTAAAGTCAACTCACTTATAATGCTGTTTTCGCAGAAGGAAAATTATAATACACTTCAATAGCAGAGTATGAACTCAAACATAATTAGTCATAAAGATTATGTACAGTATTTTACCACACCATTCAGTATAGCAGTAACATAGGTGACATGGGTCAATGAGGAAAAAAGGGTGAAACACATTTAAGCTGGATGATTATGACTTAAAATATATGATGAAAGTAACAGGTAATAATATAAATAATATATAATAAATCCTAAAAATTGTTCTGCAACTGATGAATTCATAAATATTATGTACCATAATATTGCACAGCCCTACCGCTGTTGGTAATATGTTCACAAATTTTATGGAAAACATTTTATTTATTGCCCTGATGATATGTGACATGACATTGTATTTTTCCCATACAATGACAATTACAAGAAATCCAATGTTAAATGAAATTAGTTTCAATAGTAAAACGATATATGATAAAGTTTATGCATTCAATTGAGATGTATCAACAATTTATCAAACTACAACACTAAGGACAAAGAAACCTCAAGAATGATTGAAAAAATATAAAAGTAGACACGCATTTTAGGAAATAGCAATGTGATCAAAAGTGTTACAAATGTGAGAATGTGTTACAAAACCAACTACAAGTAAAAAATAATAATAATAAAAAAAATTAATAAATAAACAGTATTAAGGAGATATAGAATATTTTGAAAAAATTGGTGAAATCCTGAAGAGTATTGTCAATAAATGTATTATATTTTTCTGTAAACATTGGTCCAGAATTAAAATCTGTACAGCTCATATTGATGAGTTCAACAAATCGTTCGAAGCAAAGAATGCAAAGTGAGTGGAGCAGAAATCAAAGCTGCCTTGAATAAATGAAAACGTAAATCAATCATCTATGGACTGTTTTTACTTAAAACATAAAGTTGGTAAAAAATAAAATGTAATTTACAAAATTTAGGAAACTATAACTTATGTTTGCAATATATCTAATGATATATTATAGCAAAAGAATTGACTTTCTAAAAAAAAAAAAAACCTTAGTTCTCCAAAAATATTACAGAGAATATATATTAATAACATGTTAAAAAATGTATTGATAAACTATTTAATCAAGGTGAAAGCAGGCAATAAATAAAAATATTGAAAACATTTTATGAAGGTTGAAAAGAAGAAAAAATGATAAATTGGATTTGGTGGGGGAAAAAATGTGATTTTTAAGCCATATCACCCAGCATTACTAACAAAATGTTTGCTTTTTTAGTTTTTGCTGAAAAGTAAACAACAAATAAATAAGAGGTATGAGCTAGTATTGCTTGAGGGAGAAAAATAACAGGAAAACTTTGACATTAAAGCTCCTGTGTTTTACCCTTTTATGTTTATATATGGAAAAGTTTCCTTTGTAGGAAAAGTTAGGAGATCGCTGAATAAACACCAGGGGTCTGTTTAACGAAGTAGGTTTAACAAATTCTGATTCAAATCCGCAACTCTAAATTGATCTAGCCTAAAGTCGGGAACTCTGAGTGTTCGATTTCACAACGGCTACTGTAATATCAAATAGTTGAAACAATTTTACCTAGGTCCACTCGGACTTAAACGCGTGCGCAATATGTATGAAAGGCCATTATCAGTGGAACACAGATGAAAAAAGGCAACAGGAAGTGCTAATTTCATCTCAATGGAACAAGATTTTAATAAAGAAATGCAGGGAAAAAAAGGAGAATGTGCTTAAAAGACAGAGAAACAGCGCTACAGCAACAAAGGAGAGGAAGGTGACAAAGGAGAAGATTCTTGCTCGAGTTAATGCATAAGTTTATATGAAGTCGGCTATGGCAGGCCGTTTTTACATGTTTTAAAAGCACCCCTCTCTGTTTTTCTATTTGTAGATCACTAAAATAAGATTCTTCCTGACCAAAATCACACTCCTACACCTACATTTTTGTGGCAGAAAATTCTCACTTTAGAAACAGAGAGAAAGTAAGAATTAAGTTTTAAATATATAGAAATGTTTACACATTTTAGTTGGCCATTTTGATATTCATCAGCTTGACTGAAAATGTATTTACTATATCTGAAAGCATTTTTTCACAGTTAAATAATACAATTGCTAACCAGTAATATTAGAAATATCGAGATTAAATTAATTTATAGACATCCATTTTTTTCACATATCAAGAATATACATTCAGTAAAACTAGAACATATGAACACGGCTTGTTCCCGTGAAAATATTATAGGATTATTTCTTCAATGGTAGTAGATCAGTGTATCTATTTAGGTGAAATCTTCTGGCAGCAGGTGAAAATGAATACTAAAAACATTGCTCTAATATATAGAGCCTGTGCATCATCTCATGCATCCCTCCTCATGTTGACTCAGTCTTCTTTTACACAGTAATGTGGGTGTTTGCAGCCGCGCTTCAGATGTTATCATCCCAATAAATGGTTGTTATAAGCAGCTATCAGTCCCAAAGAATGGTTTCAGGTTGTCCGAGTGGGCTAATTAGGTTGTTATCATCAAGTGAATCCTAATCCTAACCCTAAAGTAATTCCTTTTCCCCTGTGGAACTAATGAATCTATACATGTGTAATCTGAAAATAATATCAGTGGTTCTTCATGTACTGTAAATATAACTAAATAAAAATAAAATAATCCGCACCTTGCTCATATTAAACAAACCAAAAACGAGTAATCCCATGTCCTGTCAACTGAGTTGTAGAATCCTCTCCCTATAAATATTTAATTATCTGTGAAAATATGCCGATCATTCTTTAATTAGATCATTCTGAAAAATGGAAAATTGAAAAACAATCCACTGGACTTTGGTTCCAAGTTTGAAGATGTTTAGCTTCACATCCAGGAAGCTTTTTAAATTCAAAATGTCAGGAATAGGAATGTTACTATAGTGACTGAAATATAGGTTGAATAATTTCTCTTTGTGAAACGGAAAATTTAGAGTTTTCCTGTTTCTAAGTTTAGACAACTTAAAGTTTTTGATAAACCTGCTTCATGAAATGAAAGCTAAATGTAAGGGGGCATTCACCTTTCACAAAATTTCACCTTTGCTTCTACTGTCCTTGATGTTTTTTTTCTGATCACAAACATCAGACATACATCCAACCTCAAAAGATTTTTTTTAGAAATATAGACAATTCCCAAAATGTTTTACATCTCCAATTTATGCCTTTTCTTCCTAGTTTAATTTTTATTGTTAACGGGTGAACTCTGACCTTAACCAGACCAGTGAGGCCAGCAATGCTTTGCATAGTCTGCATATTTTTGAAAGCTCCTTAATAAGCTGACAGGAGGATTTATTTCTTGTCTGTTTTCTCCATTTGTCAGTAATAAATTTCACGGTTTAAGATAAAGAAATATCTAAATAACCCCTTTCAGACGGATTGATGTCTGTGACCGTTTCTCATCCACTCTTTATTTTAGTTTTTCCATTGGGTAGTGTTCGTTTCAAAATATTTTAGCACTTCAGGCCAGAGCTTGGGTAGTAAAATTGAACTTAGTTTTATGAACTATAATGTCCACAGAATATATCTTCAAATAACAACCTGGTTTGGATAGTTTTTTATACAGTAAAAAATAAAAGGAAATTCTGATTTAAAGGTAATGCTATGGAGCTGCATGGATACATCCCCAATGTTCTTAATAAAACTATTTAGTAAGCCCTAACCTCAGGTTAACAAGGAAGATATTTTAAGAAAGATTTTTTAGGATGTAGAATCCAAATAGTAACATGGAAAGCCAAAGCCTTATGAAAATATATTTTTATCAATGTCACATATTTAGTTAATTCTTGACTTTATATAAAACCCAAGAAGAATCGTTGCTTTTGTATTGCTATGCAAACATATCTCTCATTATGCAAATATATACAAACAATTTTCTCCGTATATGCCAAAGTATCTGAGAAAAACAATCCATGTAGTCAGGAAGGGACGGCAATGTGTTTTAGGACTTACGTCTCTGAGCTCTCAGCTTCCAGTACCGATTGCACTGGCAAGTAACCTCTCTGCGGGTGCTTTGTAAAGTACTGCTTCGACCTGAACTTGTTCTTCAGGGTCTTGGCAAAGTCCCTCATCTTCTCTCCAGAAGTAGTCTGAAGTAGTTGAGGGAGGCGGGTGCAGGATGTGATGAAAAGTAGAGGTTGAAGCACAGAGCATAATGATTGAAAGACAAGTTGAACTAGTTTAGAATTAGCATCTCCAGAGATCCTCGTCATGTAAAATGAAAACAATTTTTCTCCCTCCAATACCAATACTTTCTATTTTGCTGCCCCCAGCTTATTGCTCTGTATAAATTTGTTTTTCATCAGATTTGAAAGGAGATTTTTAAATGCTTACCACTGCCAAGACTATAATATAGTCCTTTATTTAATATCTTAAAATAATGTCCTCTCTCCTGCATTGAACCATATGCAGTATACTAATTTAAGAGTTTTACTAAGCGTTTGTAGTCCAAGCAAATCTTTAATTGGACATAAAATTAGGTAATATCTCTCTACAAAGTGGTTCCCTTCACATTTATACTATATATCTGGATGAAGAATAGAATCCCTGATCCATACTTGGCAGTGGAAATAGTGAGTAAGGAGAGTGTATTTCAAATTTGACTAGAGTTAAGCTTTATCTCTCCCTAAAGACCTGAATTTGTATTCTGGTAAAGTGTTACATAATGCCTCTCTTACTGGGGTGTAGTACTCCATGATGGGATAGTGCAGCTTCTTGCCCTTGCTTGTGCGGCCAGTTAGAAAACACGTCTGGCAGATGTCCACATTGAACTGCTTCAGACTGCGATACCTGTCGAGATCAATAAAACAGAACATTTAACGATGTTTGCAGGTGAGCTGAACGGAGCAGAGTAGTTCTGTGTGTCTATTCCTATCTAAGCCACACTGTAGAGACATAGATCTCTTTGCAGGTTCAAACAAAAGACATTTGATTTCCTATACCAGACAATGGGGTTGTTAAAACGACTAAAAGGCTCGACTTAAAGTTTAGACAAATCTTAATGAAATCTCCTGAGTCAATGTAGTCAAATTAAAAGAAAATGAAAAAAGGAGAAAAATCAACAAAGTTGATACAAAATTAACTGTATTAATTAGTTGCTGAGCATAATTCATCTTTAACGTTTCAGTAAGGACATTAAAACATTCCATTTCACTAACTTATAAAACATGTACTTCATTACATATTTATCTGTGTTGCTTTTTGTCTAATATTGGCACAATGTATATGAATGCATGTGATAAAAACTGGGAAACACCATTAAATTTATCTAAAAATGAACTTCGTCTTTAAAAGAAAAATTATTCAATAACACAGTAAATAAAAAGATGTGCGCCAAAATCTACTTTGCAGCGATTGTGAAGTACTTTTATGTGGGTTTTTTTTTTTTTTTTGTGCTTTTAAACATTTTGTTTACAGTAGTTTAAATGGCCTTTTTAATAAAATGTGATATAAAAATAAACCTGCCTTGCCTATTACCAAAGATAATAATTAGGGCAACAACCTCAATAACTAGCAAAACCGATCTAACAGTGTCCATCTAATAGTCTCAGTCACCAGTCTGAGCAATTTCTCAATTTCTGGCTGTGGGATATTTTCAGGGCTCCTTACATGTTCAACCAGTTTTAGGTCCCTCAGCATCTTAACACAATCTAGATGGGCTTAGACTGATCTCAGGCTGGTTCAACACAGAGTCTGAATATTTCTTCAAACACCCTTTAAAACTGTACTCGGTACAACTTACAGGCTCCTGCTGCAGCAAATCATCCACAAACCATGACACTTACACCTCCATGCTTCACACATGGGACTGTTTAATTGTTTCAGCAATTATCCAGAAGCTTTAGTATCTGTCTGTATCTAAATTCCCTCTAATAAACTTTATTTGGCCAACATCTTTGCTTTCTTTAAAGGCAAAGATTAACTCCGGGTACAGCTCCATGCATGATGAACTTAAGCAGGTTTAAATTTTGAAAACAAGTAGTTTCACCTCAACAGAAATATCTTCTGGTATAATTTTAGGTCTGATTTTCCTGGACGTCCAGACATGGATTTGTCACAATTTTCTCTAAATGTTCTGAACTTGTAGACTGCTTTTCATGGTTTTTTTTTTTTTTATGACGTCTTTAAATCCCTTACCAGACTCATAAGCTGCTATAATCTTCTTACTGATGGACGCAAAGAGCTCTCTTGATCTCTCCATGGCATTTACTCTCCCTTCAACAGTCAGCAGGATATACTTCATTTTTTAAGGTTAAAGTATAAGTATCCTCCACAAAAATGAGTAACTGTGTTATGTGCATCTCAAAGTAGTTTTAGAAATTTATGTTTTTTTAAATTTATTTCAGATAAGAAAACTGCACTTTCTTTGGAAATAAAAACATGATATTTTATTTCTTTGATTATTTTCAAATTTCTATGAAATATAAATTTATTCAATTTTGTGGAAAAAAACAACAACCCACAGACTGCTGTAGGGTGTCCTTGTTTCTTGAAACAACAATCTACTGTTCGCCAAAGGTAGAGCTGACAGTATTGTAGGGCCATCTTCTCTAAGCTTACATCTAAGTGGAAAAAATAGAACTGGTAACAAGGTAATTACACAAAGACATATAACAAAAATAAAACGTTATAGTAACACTGCTCAGTAGATGCATTTTTTTTTTCACTCATATCATGCAAAAATGAATAATTTGCAGAGATGACAGTATCTAAAGAGCATCAAAACCACTGTGTGAACATTACATAATTCTGAGGATGAAAAATAGGAAAACTACTAAAAATGGTCCTTGAAATAAATGCATTGCTTTTTAATTTGTTAATAACTCTCCCCTTAATTTTGTAATTTCTTTCAAAACACTTGCTTTAAACAAAAATTCATGACTTTCAACTACATTTATAGCATGATAATAAAAAAAATGTCACTTCTGTCTTAAACTTTATAATATGAATTGATATTAGAATGACAGAATAACATCATAAAAAAATTAGAATATAATTTCAAATTAAGGATATTGTTTTGAAGTAATTTCCCTCTGGGATTATTAAAGTATGTTTGATTCTTATTAACAAAAATTATTTTTCAGAACAAAAACTTAATTTAAGCTATGCATAAGTCTAATAATATTTTAAGTTAGTTATTTGAGGTACGTCTTCATTCTAACAAACAATAACCTGTTGCACATTGTCCGACACAACCTCTAATTTGTCTTTAGATAAATGTTGGTCACAAAAAAAAATCGAAAACATATTTCATATAAGGAGGTGATTATCTGACAAACAATTATATAAAATGAGGTTGGACATTAATTAATGTTAAAGTTTTTACTTTTTTACCCGTATAACAGTGGAATAACTAAGGAATTGAATTACAAATATTTCTGGACCTTTCCTGCCTGGAATGTTTTGTTGTAAAAGCCTAATTGAACCAAACCTAAGCTAAAAACATTTTTTTGTATCTCTACCTGGATTCAAACTCCAATGTCGAACACAAAAGGCAGTAACAATTAAATATTTTTTGATGGTCTGCCTTCCTTCATTATAAAAACAAAACACATCACAGAGAACTTTAACTTGTTGTGCAATATAAGGAACATGGCGCTGAAATGTTATTTATTGACTGGTGAGAAATGGTGATGCTCAAAAATATATGAATGCAGAACTCTAGTATGAAATAGAGCAGGGGTGGCGAACTGGTTCCAGAAAGAGCCGCGTGGCTGCAGGTTTTCTTTCCAACCAAGCAATGGCACACCAGACTCCATTCATCTCATCAAGTGAGTCCAATCTGAACATGATGACTTGATGAGATGAATGGAGTCTGGTGTGCCATTGCTTGGTTGGAAAGAAAACCTGCAGCCACGCGGCTCTTTCTGGAACCAGTTTGCCACCCCTGAAATAGAGTATTAGCTGTAGTATTATCAAACTGAAATCCTTGAGAGCTGATGTCCTGCAATAAGTAGACATCTCCTGAGTCCAACACACTTGAATCAAATGGCTTAATTACCTCCTCAGATGTGGCCAAGTTCTCCAAAGTCCTACAAAGGAACTAATTATTGGATTTTGATGTATTAAAGCAGAGATGGAGGCTCCTCTGATCTCCACAAAAGGACAGTCAGTGGTTTTGCTCAGAACCCACTGTCCCTCATGTTTTAGGTGTTTCCCTGCCTTGTTTTCAATTTGTGGCTCGTCAGCCACAATAATCTATGCACCTCACAGGTGTGCAATATGAAAATGCGATACGACAACTTGATTACTGCACAGGTGCGTCTAAGGCAGGCCAAAATTGAAGGCCAAGGTGTGAAAACAGCTTTTAGAGTGCAGCATTCATTTAATTGGAAAGTTATTTTCTCAACTATAAGCGTCTCCTACGTAAGGTGTTTGATGATTTTCTGATGTTATCAGTGTTATGCTATCTTTCGGCATATGTTGGGGATAATGGATTCAGGTGCATTTTATTGGTGGTATTCTGAAAGCACAGAGAAGCTGTTGCAAATTGTTGTGCCATTCATTTACAAACTGCACCTCACTTTGCAGCATGATAATGTGCCATGTTCTAAGGTTATTTGCACAACTTCTGGAAGCTGAAAGCATCTGAATTCTGCATAAAACAATTGTTAATGCCTTGTTTCTTGACAAACACAGTAGACCTGCACATCAGGAGTGGTGACCTCGTGGTTAGGGCATTGCGCTTGTATCCCAGAGATTCTGAGTTCAAGCCCCACTCCCACAGACTGCCACTCTGGGTCCCTGAACAAGACCCTTAACCCAACACTGTTTCCCGGGTGCCACACAATGGCAGCCCACTGCTCCCCAAGGGGATGGGTTAGATACAGAGAGTTAATTTTGTTGCTTTGTTCTTGTGACAGTGTAATGACAAATTTGAATTATATTCTTTAAGTGACCTTTTGTTGTGGTCAGCCATGACTATGATAAAAACATAATTTCACAACATCTGTGCAATGACCATGTAATCAAAATCTTGATGTGTCCTACCTGTGAGGTGGATGAACAAATGCTCACTTAAACGGTTAAAGGTGAACTTGTGAACAACATAAGACTGAAAAAAAGTCTTAGATAGTTGGCTGTATCTCATAAAAAATGACAGTACCAACAAAAGTGCTGTGTTTTAACTTTTGTTTATGATAGTAAGCTCATAGAAAGGTCACAGAAGGTGCAACAAGGACATATTTTCATGTATTACCAATTTTATTTCAACTTTGGGAAGCAAATGAAGCAATGGTAGCATAGTAATACAGCCAGGTTTGTGTGGTGTTATTTTGCAAGAACCTTGCCTTTAAATAATTTGTTTCTATTAGTCTTACATCTGCATGTTAATATCCTAATGGATGCAATTCATGGCACAGCAGCAATGCCTACCTGAAGCCTTTTATGGGGCATTGTTTGCAGACATAGCATTTGGCCTGATGCTTAGTGGACTCTGCAGCAGCTACACGGTGGAGGACAGGCAGCCAAACCATTGACTGAGGCTCCAGGCTCATCCATTCCAGGAAATGAGACACTTCAATGGCAGGTTTCCCAGGGGCCTGTTAGTAAAAGACAAGACTGTATGCAACCCATATTTGGACCAACAATAGGACAGTATCTTAAAACACTCAAAACAATAACAACAAAAACAGGTACTTTCAGCATTCATAATGAAACAAGTTTTAAAATATTTAGATAGCACAGAGCATTAAATGATTTATATGTTTACGCACTTACAAGGCTAAACATATAACAGAAAAACTATATACAGCTGTTAATGTGAGTTTGCATGCTTTCTATACGTTCTGGATACTGCCTGTTGAGATTTATAGGAATTTAAATAAAACTATATATATATATAATGAAGGAAAACTCACCAATAGCTTGCCAAATACTTAAAATCCATGTTTTGCTAATTTCTCATCAAGTGTGCATAAGGATGTGTTAAGAAGCTGATTTCCCTGAGGACTACCCCAACTGCTGAAGCATAGTAACATAAAAAATGTATGTAAGCGTGTGTTGTGATCACAGGCAAGACAATGACTGAGGTGTGCTGTCTCCTGGGAATGAAGGAGTTTTTCTCAAACACCCAGCTTGGTTTCCTGTGGGAGGTCAAACGGCAGCGTCTTACACACCAAACAGCTGGAAGTGGAAGTGCAAACCCTGATCACGTTATTCCATCTCAAAACAACAGATGGGGTTTTCATAACATTGCTAGGATAATTTTGCTTCAATATGCAACCTCCTAAATATAAATATATATAAATATATTTATTAAACTAACATATGATTGTGAAATTAGATTTTTTTGTAAGTTAAAGCTCGAAACAGTTGATGTGGGAACAATTCATATGGACGAAATTTAAAGCATGCATCAACTTCTACATTTATTTTGAGCTCGTATCAGATCATTTCTGGATTTTCTTTTATATTATATCTTAAGTTGTTTTTCCATGTTCACGCTGCTTTCTAGCAACTATACAATGCAGCCTGCTCAATTGTTGCTGTTGTTGTTTCCATTTATTAGCCAATATAAGGTTGATACCACCAGATCCAAGGATCCAGTGTCCCCGAATAATTGGAGGACGGGTCTCTCTAATTTTACACAAGTATAGACAACATTCAGTCACATCTCCTGACCTAAATCAGTCACACATTTGAGGTCTTGAAACTAAGATATATCCATTTCATCAATCAATAATGGGGATATATCTAATTTATTGTTGCAGAGCTGTGTTGGAGATTCTGCATATCTTGAGAAATGTATAGATGAGAGGCTGGGTGAACCAGTCAGTCCCATTGTAACACAGAGGATACACAACCATATACAAACTCAGTAGGACCTGACCTAACATTCTTGGTCTTAGACTGTTGGAGGAATCTGGAAAACCAACACCACAAAGTGCGGCGTAATAGTACTCGACCAACTCAATTTCTGTCAGACCTTCTGGAAGGAGAGTGTTATAGAAGTCTTGTGGTCAATGCCGGATACATTTTTATGAAACTGTTCTTTAAAAGTTCTGTCATGTGTGAGGTTTTCAGGAACAAATATCACATACTCAAAAGTTAACACCTCACTAATTCATCCTAATTCTTAAAGAAACGTCTCATAAAAGTCATAGAGCTAATCCTTCAAACATCTGAATTGCATCAGGGACCTGGTGAGTAACAGATGCTGGATAGTTGGTTTCATAGAATATCAAAGCTGCAGCCTAAACCGACAACAAGGTTAAAACTTAAACAGATTTCATCTGTCTTTAGAGCTCTACGTCCATGATCGTGTCCTCACCATGCGAAAGCAGCTTCGAACGCTAGGCTCCACATTGCTGCCACCGAAAGCTGCGACTTCCCCGAGCTGACGGGGTATCTGGATGGCTTCGTGTAGCAGCAGGCTGAGGTGACGCTGGTCTGTCACTCCTCCAGGACCAGACACCTGGCGGAACAAGTCTGTAAAAAAATTAATGGTATCATCTGTCAATTATGCTCTAATTTCATCACACACCAGTTCATGGAGTAGAAATAATCAAACTATGTGTTGCTTTACATTTTTTAAAGACATTTCAAGAGCATTATTTTCACATATGCTTGTATTGCTTTTTTAAATTTTGTTTTGGAAAAAGGGGGCTGCTATTTCAGAGGCCAAGCTGACTTAAAATAAACTAAAAGTAGACCTATTCCGAAATCAAAGAAAACACTCAATAAATATTACCCACTCTAAAATTTTATACAATAGGCATAATATCAGTGGCATAAAATAAGAATAATCTTTATAAATGATCTTTTTGCCTATTTTAGAGATGAAAGATTTGCATGAAAGGCCTCTTGTCAAGCTCTGATTGAGTCTTTTGCTATGCCTGAAATATCTCTGTTGCTGAAGAGATGAATCCTTGACAGGTGTGTGAGTGCGCTGGCCAACAGTAACATTGTGTGTATCCCCCTCTTTGTGAACTTTTGTCTCCCCACGATGAGAGAACATTTGGCTTCAACATCTGCATTTTAAAAAGCTTCCTTCTTTGTAACATCATAACCAGTACTGAGCTCTGTTAGATGTATGAAATACTCCCACAATGCAGTGGAGTTGTGGGCATGTTTTATGGAGACGTTTTCTCATGGTATCGCTCTCTTACATCATAAATTAGCTGCCTTCATGGTGCAAATGCTATGGTAACATAGAATAATTCTTTGGCTCATCACATAAGCAAAAAGAGGGCAGGTCTCTAACTGCTGTTGATTCCATAAACCTGGACAAAATCTGCAGTGCAAATTGAGACACCTACCTAGATACATTATTTAAAACAACATTACGTAACTTTTCAACCTTCATAAAATATTTTCCTAACTTTTGTAATTATATAGATGAGTATGCCATGACTGTGTCAGCCTACATCAACAAATGCATTGAGAACCTCGGCATCATAAAAAACATCACCACCCAGGCCAACCAACAACCCTGGTTCGGAAATTGCTAAAAGCAAGGAACTCAGCTTTCAAGTCTGGTGATAAAGAGGCACTGAGAACAGTGCGTACCAACTTGAACCATGCCATCAGATCTGCCTTGACACAGCTGATGTGTGAGAGAACCTGAGGGCAGTCAACCCAAGAAAGGCCCCAGGCCCAGATCATCATACCTGGTGGGTGTACAAGCAGTGTGCATGTAAGGTGGCTGGTGTCCTCACAGACATTTTTAACACCTCGCTGGATCAATCCATAGTGCCAGCATGCTTTAAGTCTGCCACAATGATTAAGTGCTTCGAAAGGCAGGTTAAAGAACACATCGTCTCCAGTTCGCCCATTCCAGTTCACCTACTGATTGAACCGCTCCACTGAAGAAGCCATCTACTTCACTCTCCAGCTGACACCAACGTGCGGATGCTGTTCCTGGACTTCAGCTCGGCTTTCAACACCATCATCCCACAGCACCTGATAGGAAAACTGGAACAGCTGAGCTTCATTACACCCCTCTGCAACTGGCTGCTTCACATCCTCATAGACAGATCTCAGTAAGTCCGGGTTTGACAAAACACCTCTGATGTCACCACCCTAAGCACAGCCCTCAGGGCTGCGTCCTTAGACGACACCACGGTGGTGAACCTTATCAGATACGACAAAGACCAAGACTACAGAGAGGAGGTGGAGCAGCTGGTGGGCTGGTGCAGGGATAACAGCCTGATCCTGAACGTGGGAAAATGAAGGAGATCATCACTGACTTCAGGAAGTATTTGCCCTACCATGCTCCACAACATTCCATAGTCATTCCCACTTTTTTTAAATGACTATTACCTGGATGACTGAGAATCTTCACCAGCATGTCTGAAAATCTGTACTCAATGAAATTTTGTTATAACTTTATTACTATAAAAGTTGTCTAAGATTATACATCGATTAGTTGAATGACTCCTTTATCATGGCCCAAGGGGGTCTGTATTGCTTTTACTGGCACTAAGCAACTTTGAGCGGGGTGGCAGTAAACCTGCCACAGAAAACTATTAAAAATGTGCAGACAGCTTTAAAGTATATGTCATTTTCCCCATTGCTTATAAAGACAAAAGTCAATGCGACCAAATTGCCCTATTAGACTGTATATTCATGTAAACTGTTCAGGGTTGATATTTAGGTAATGCAGCACCTTCTTGCTCTGATCTGACGTATGCCTTAAAGCAGTCTACACATATGAAGTTGTGTTGTGTGGCAGGTTTACTGCCACCCTCCACAAAGTGACTTAGTCAAGGTGAGAACAATACAGACCCCCTCTGCAATGACAGAAGTGTCATTGAACTAGCGAAGTACAATCACAAAAGTTATGAAAATATTTCATGAAGATTGAAAAGTTAGTTGGTCTTGGTTTAACAGAAAAATGTTAGAAAATCGACACGATTAGCTGAACCCAGAAAGCACAGGTTTTTATGTAAGCTAGAAGAAAACAGATATTTTTTCTTAAAATATACAAAAGAGTCAAAAAGCCATTTATTTAAGGAAAATTAGCCTGATATATCTAGACCAGGGAAATGGTAAAAAAAAATAGAGAACAATTTTCTAAAATGTGACTTCATCCACAGTTAGAGTGACGAAAACAGTTTAAACAGCTGAACGTATAAAAAACTGGGCTGGGTGAAGACTAAGTTTGTCATGCCATGATTGGCAGTAAAATAGATAGTAGGGAAGGTAATCAAAAGCTCTCTGTCAGTCATAACTTTCTATTATATTATTATGTACGTAAACTTATGTGAAGTTTAAAATATTCTTCTGTGTGCTTTGGTCAGATTAGACAAGAGTGAACTTTATAGCAGGAGCTGTGATGCTCCTCTGCTACCAAGAAGATCTGAGAACTCAGGGGTTGACAAGGACATAGAACATAAGCGATTTGTTCAGTAACATAATAAACCAAATCCTGGTTGGCTTAACCAAACATAAAAGTCAAACCATCTCCAATGGCCTTTTCAGTCTTCAGTATTGTGCACAGATTTGAGATTTGGGCATAGATTTGAGATCAGATATTTTAGATTTGATTTGACGTAAACATGAGATAGACATGGCTGTGTAGAATAAAGCAGAACCGTGTTAACAGCTTCCGTAAGAATGAAATACACTGCTGAGGCTGGATCAATGCACGAAGTTTAAAACTGAATAATAACAACGGTCCAATTTTTGGAAGTTTAGTCAATGATTTTGTTTTATTACAATGACTAAGGCCAAAAAAATAAAAAAATTAAGCTCAGAAAAGACACTGGGGCTCATTTTAGCTTGAAAAACAGCAGTTTCGCTATCTTTTTAATAGATTTTTATGTTATTTTAGGTTTATAAATATTTTGTTATATACACTGATTCTGAAAAGAAGTGGAAAGATATGTTGCTTCAGTGTTATTCTATGGGTCAAATAGTTGTTGAGTAAAAGCATTTGGCAATTTTGCACAATTGGCACATTTGGACAGATTTGGAGATGCTGGTGAAACCAAAAGTTCAAAGCCCTACAGCTCTGGAACTGTTGTAGCTAGAGGTCTGAAATTTTCTTCAATTGTGGTTGACATGATTCAGAATAAATTTAATACAATGAGACATGCCTTTTACAAGCATGTTTTTATTACTGCTGTTCAAAAAAAGACCTATTATTTTTCGAGAATAAGAAAAACAACTTTGAGTCATGTTTGAACTGATGCAGCTTAGGCTGTGTTTTACTCACCCAATTTTAACTAGGAGGTGTTAGCTTTCAAATGATGAATCACACATGTAATTTGGGATTACAGTTCCTCAGTTAATTGCTCTTCTATTTGGGTAAGCAAAATAGGTGAGGATTACTTCAAATAAGGTGGGTGTTAAGAGGTGCTTAAAAAAAGAAAACCTACAGTCCATATGATTGTTTAATGAACAAATGTTTACAATAATTAGAGGCTGAATTTGGAAAAGTTTTGGTAAGAGATTATAATTCTTGTTCCAAAGAAGTTCCAAAAAAGTTAAAAAAAACAATCACTGGAATTTGTTTCCAAGTTTGAAGATGTTTCGCTTCCCATCCAGGAAGCTTTTTCAATTCAAAATGTCTGAATTAGCATTGAGTTTGAAGCTTTATAGAGTGGCGCAAAAACAAAGCCTTGTGTTGGCTTAGAAAACATACAAATTGAACCAGAAGAACGGGTCTGCCCCTTTGGAATGGGCAGTCATTTGGGTTCTTTGTTAGCCTGCAATACCCAATACTGGTCTATTCTTCTGAAAGGGGGGTTGTTGGGGGGAATTGTTGGCCTGGCTGAGCAGGCGAGATATTTTGGTCTCCTGTATGGGGGTGGGGGTTGCAATGATAGTGGGATAGAATTAACTTTATCACTGCATTGTAGGATTTTGAAAGCTGAAATCTAAGTCCATCCCCTCTTTTTAAGGTTGTTTTTTCTTTCTTAACATAAATGCTTCCTTCACACCCCTTTAAAACCACCAGTCTTCTTTGTCCAAAATGTTAATCTTCTGTTTTTTTTTTTTTATGCATTATCACCAGGGCTTACAATAAATGTGGAGGGTTCCCAAAGTGATGCATAAACTGAAGTAACAACAGAACAAAAATATAAATATATCTTAGACCACAGCTGCATCTATAACAAGCATTATTGATCCACAAACCAAGCTTAATATTGAAGGTAAAGTTCAGACTTCAGAAAAAGCTCTACAGCCAGCAGAGGAAAGAAATTTACATATCAAACCATACAAATACAAATGTAATATAAAAAATGACAAAAAATTTAAAGCTTTTTAAGTAATTTCCATTTCATATTATTTCACAATGCACAAACATCTAATAAATATGTATGTAAATTCATAGTTTTTAAAACGGTATTTGCACCATAAATGTTAAAAGTTATGTTGCACTGGTAGCATATACACGTAGACTGCTTATAGTCTTTAAAGTTTACCCCTCTTCAAAAAGTCAGAATTTATATTTTTTAAACAAGAAATTCTGCATTAAACATCAATCCCAATCACAGAAAACAAATTGAGTGCTATAGTTATTTTCAACCTGACTTGGTCTAAAAAGAAAAGTATCAGAGAGAGGGTGTGCATGAACTTTTATTAAGCTATCCGTGTACAAGTAAAGAAAGCTTTTTTCATTTTGGCAGCCTAAACATTCTCTTTACACTAAGTTGATGTCTTGCAGTACTTGCTATTTGTTACTCTTATTGAATCCCTATTTTGATCAATATAATGCACTTACCAACTCAAACAAATATCACACTTACATTTGTACTTCTCTTGGACGTCTGCATTGCACAAGCTCACCAGTCCCATCTTGAAGCTGAGAACTCGCATTTTGCCGTTCCGAGGACTACAGGGAAGGAAAGCAAAGAGGTTAAAAGAAAATCTCCCAAAATTACAGTTTTTTTAAAGGTGAACAATCTTGAATCCCTGCCTAGTGGATCGTAATAATACAGAGCCCTGCTGGGAAGAATTACACGGGTCGAAGCAGCACAATACAGGTCAGTTGAGTAGTGTGAAATTGCATTAGAGCACATTCAGAGTAAGTAAAGGCCCTTCAGGGAATTGGTAAAGTGTTGTCCAAGAGTTCTATGCCCAGAAGAGCAACAAAAATCTCATATGCTAGTTAAAAATACATACATACAACAGCTTTCCAAAAGCAATCCCTCTTGAAGTTCTCCACATTTTGCCTCAAACCAAACCTTAATAATGTTTTTGGTATTATATGCGACAAACTAACACAATAAAGCCCACTCAGATCAAATAAAATGTGCAAGTTGGATGATATGAGACACTTTAAAGAAGATAAGCCTGTACACACCATAAAAAATGGTAACAAACTTAAATAAAAAAAAAAAAAGAAATCTTTAGAATTTTTAAGCAGTGGTTATTACAAAATGTATCTCTGAAGTGTTTAGTTTTATATCATATAGTGTTTTTAGCATATAGGTGTCTGGGGCTCTATATTCTATTGTCTGTCTGTATGCTGAGATGAGGAACCAAACTCCCTATAAGGGCAACAATATTCTATTCTATTTGATTCTATTCTATTCTATTCTATTCTATTCTATTCTATTCTAAACTCCAGCAAGGCCAAACGTGTTACCAAGGCAATGATTTCCATCAGAGAAACAGACAATATATAAACCTAAGAGAATCACCTAATCAAAGTCTAGACCTATTGTGAATATAATTTAGATGAAGATGACATTAACCTCTCAAACTATTCTTTTTGCAAAGAAGAAAAGGCAAAAACTTTGGTGCCTAGATGTGCAACACTGAGAGATACATGCTTCAAAATATCCCCAGCTGTAGTTGTAAAGTGATGTGATTCTACCAGGTACTGAATCAGGGGGACTTCAAAAGTTTTAATTAAAAACAAAAATGTACCACTAAAAATCATGAACTATGCACTATTTTATATATATATTTATATATACATATTCATACATACTGAATGAATTGCATTTTTTTTTCTGCTAGATTCAGGACCAGAGAAAGCTCAGAGGAGACACTGAACACATGTTGACAGCTGGATGTCAGTACCTTTAACCCACCCTTTCTGCTGTGCACCTCATGCCTTCTTTAACATGCATCTCAGTGTTGCTCCTAAAGGAACATATTATTCTAGCACTCCCTGACATCGCTCCAGAGTAAATGCAGTCTTAAACATACATGCAAACGCTTCTAAGAGATCTTATCTATTTGTCTTTCACAAATGCGTACAAATATACACAAGCCTTATTCACATCCCCTGCTGCTATTTAGAAGAAAAAGGTAATTACTGATATTAATTCAGAAGCAAAGTCTCTGATTGTTTCTCGCTGGAAGCGAGTGATTAAAACCTGCAGACCGGATATACAGCTCCCACTGAGGAATTGTTAAGTTTCAGTGTCTGTGCTGTGGGGCTTTTGCTGGAGGTGGAACACACAGGGAACAAAGCAGGGTGAGTACCGGTGTCAAAGAGGATTTGCTCCGCTTGTGTCTGGGAAGGGGTGTCTGACCTTCAGGCTTAAAACTGTTACTGCAGCTTTAGCTGGTCGCACTTTATCTAAAAGTCTGTGTAAAAAAGCCCCATAAAACTCTTATCCATCTCCACTATGTTTTTCCGTGACTACAATGACACGGCTTTTGTAAATAATCACAGGGCACCTATGTAAAGGAGAGCTTTACAAAACTCAAAGTGATTATAAGCAGGTATGATTCAAAGAAGCTACTTGTTAGGGTGCTGTGAATCAAAAAGTGTCACAATTTCACCAGTAAAAGGCTTTCACAGACTAATCTCAAAATCGTTTTGTGAGCCTATATTTGGCTATGCAGGGATGAAAATTAAACCACTGTTGAGATTCTTTCTTCTGGAGACAATCGTGCAAAATGAAAAATAAATAAACCTTTAACCATACAAAAGACTAACAAAGGAATATAAATTAATTAATTTAGATTTTTTTCTTCCATGACTATATTAGTTGGTGTTTTCTGAAATGGAATTCATCATATTTGGTCAAATTTGAAAATATACTATATATTAAAGCAAATAAAACAATTGGATTTTTCTACTTGATAGGGAAAAGAGAGCTTATGTTTTCAAAAGTTAAGCCACTAACCCAAAAAGCAGTAGTGTTAGGCGTTCCTGTAAAATGACTTTTGCAAAATGATGTGGCAATAAAAAGAGATCTATTTATGTTATTGATTTTGCCTTTAGGCACCACAGTAGGACAGTGGGTAGCACTGCTGCCTTCCAGCAATAGGGTCCTTGTTTCGATTCCTGGCCCGGGAGCATTCTGCATATAGTTTCCATGTTCTCCCTGAGCATGCATGGGTTCTCTCCGGGTACTCCGGCTTCCTCCAACAGTCCAAAAACATTACCAGGTTAATTGGCTTCTCTAAATTCTCCTTAGGTGTGAGTGTGTGCATGAATGGTTGTTTGTCCTGTTTGTCTCTGTGTTGCCCGACGATGGACTGGCGACCTGTCCGGGGTGTACCCCGCCTCTCGCAAGTAAGTAGAGGAGAGTGGCCTCTTGGCTCGGCATTGCGCTTTTGCCCCAGTCCCACGGACTGACACTCTGGGTCCCTGAAAACAAGCTTAATCCCGCACTGCTCCCCGGGCGCCACAAAATGACAGCCCACTGCTCCCCAAGGGGATGGGTTAAATACAGAGAGTTAATTTAATTTCTCTGCACTTTTGACTGTGTCATGACAATAAAAAATGCTGTAAAAAAATCCCAGCAGGGATAAGCGTAATGGAAAATTGAGTGAATGGATTTTTCTTTTATACATTCTTACAAGAAGTACCAATGGCAAAGGTTGCTTTATTGTTGGGACCAAATTTCTGAACTTGTCACTGTTTGTGGTTGTTTATCACCCAAAAAGGTGTGTGTTAAATAGATCCTGACCTTTAGGTTGTTTGCGTTTGAATAACAAGGCCCTGCGTAAAAGTAAAAAAAAAAATGGTGAAAGGTGTATCTGAATTAAACTTTTCCTAAAATTCGTTTTTGCTGCTTGAAGCATTTTTCTGTTGCATGTGTTTTGCGTTTAAGCATGTTTATATTTTCCCTTTCTTCATATTTCAATCTATTTTCTCATCTGTGTGCAAGAATGTAGGTAATTCTCCGCAGGCAGATATTTCTTGGCATAACAGTAAGCGAAAATGTGGATGAGCACGTAGGACGGCCTTACGTAAACTTATCACCATAATGATTAACAGTTAGGAGGGCCACTTATTTAGATGATCCACCCAGAAAAAGAACGACCTCTATGTGAGAAAAACGGCTCGCCAGCTCTCGTCTCACGTCAGAGGAGGAGTAAGCAGATGACTTGCAAAAAAAATTAAATGGTAAGAACCAGCGGACGACAAAATTCCAGTTAAAAAGCGTGTAGCAATTTATTTACTGGCGATGGTGAAGACAAAAAAAAACAAAACAAACAAAATACTTTCAAATAAAGAAAACAAAACCGGCCATTGCAGGCAATACAAAAAACTGACAGCCTCACAGCAAGCTGACATTAAATATAGTTTTTTAAAGCAGACCTTCCAAAGCAGTTTCTCCAAGCAGCCCTCCAAGCAGCCCTCTCCAAGACATTGTGAGTATGCCCCTTAAATAGACCCACCAATAATCAGCCAATTGGGACAGCCCAACTAAACAGGAAGGCAAATCCCAAATAAACCACAGTTAACATTATAGAAAAATAAATACAGACAATATCATCATTCATGCAAAAACATACATATTTATGAAATAATTTAACCATACAAACATTACCATTTCACCTACTTATTACCATGCAAATAATCATTACACACACTGAAATCCCACTTAACACCCCTGCCCCCTAATAGTCTTTTCCAATGCCCTGGGACCATGGATAAGAGACTGGCTACGATGCGGTACGTGTTTCCACACGGACCAGTATTCTGACGGACTAAGGGAAGAGAAAGTGTAATTTGACTGGGAAGTTTTATTGCCGACTACGGAATGTATACTGATGCTGACGCAGTGGATACTTTCAGAGTTCGCCACGCTGGTGAGTAAGAAAAATGTTAAATGAAAGGTGACGTTGTAATTTCAGAACTAGTGTGAATTACCGGGTGAAATGTTTGGATCTGCCGCCGCCATGATGGCCGGTCTGTGGTGCATGCTGGGAAATGTAGTGAAGGATGCGACGCTGTGTGTGATAGACGGCGGTTATACTTTGAGAACAGAGGGGGAAAACGGCTCCGTTTTCACACTCTACTATACCTTTAATTTAGGATCAAACTAAGACTATTTTCTTTGGCCTACTAAAAATCTAATTAATTGACTTTAATCCTATGAAAAATTGTTATCTATGAGAAAGAGCAATTGAAAATTACTGTTGGAATAATAAAACTCTTACATTTTTCACGTTATTTATCTGCTCTGGACTGTGCAACTGGATAAATATGATGCACAGTGCTGTTGAAAGGGCGGCCTTTTGTGAAATCAAGATTTTTTATCACTTTTTCACTTGTGCTTCCTCTTAATGTCATTCACAATCCAAATAAAAACAAACTTAAGCTATCCTTATGTTGGTGGTACTGTAGATTGGTGGCCTGTTCACTGTCTACCCAGTCTCTCACCCAATGACTGCTGGAGATGGGTAACAGTTTAACAATTCACGAAACACCAAGGGTGTCAAGGTAATGGTTTGCCAACAGGCTGTAAAGGACCAAAAATATCACATTTTATAAAAGTATCAGTCAGAGGAATGGTACATAAAATACACATTTTCATGGTAAAAGGGAGAAATAATATTTAGAGAAATTAATGTAGAGGGATGCTTATGCATCCATTTTCCATCACTGTGACTCCAAGAAAAGAAACAAATATTGGGATTATATGAAATTCATTGTGATACTCCTTTTAAAGTTTCACCTGATTGCTTTGGCCAATTTGGCCTCTAATCCATTGCACTGAACTGTAGGGGAGCTGAGCGGCTGCTTCAGTGGCTGACAGAGACAACCTTAGGGAGCACTACTGCATCCCCCATGCTTGGACTACTCTATAACAGCCTGTCCAATTGTTGGGATCTGGAGAAGTTCCACCTTTCTCCAGCAGAGTCCGCCGTGGATCCTCCTGAGCTGAGCCTTCGACACACCTGAGGCGCATCTCATCATCAGAGGATCCACCAGTATATAACCTGCCTTCAGACCTTGCCTCAACGCCGCAGTGTTTATCCAGTTTGGTTAGCACCTGAGCCTAGCTTCTTCTGAGAACCTTTTGCTCCTGATTCCTGATTGGATTCTAATCCCTTTTTGTCTCTGCTTTCAGGAATCCAGTTTCCCTTGTAAGCTTTGGATGAGCTTAACCTGCCAAGCCTGCCCTCTGAGCCAAACCTGAAGACTCTTCTCTGGATTCCCATGCAGCTCTGGACTAAGAGCTGGAAACCCAAAGCCAAGGTCTGCCCTCACGCTAGAAGTAAGACGCTGAAGCGGTTATTGGACTCTGCTAAACTAAACAGTCTCTGGACCCAACAGTTCCTCTCTCAAAGCCAAACCCGGACTCCTCAAGGTATAAACCTGAAACTCTCAAACTCAAACTCATCTGCGTCCAAGCTAACTGAACTGTCATCCTCACAGACTCCAGTGAACCTGCCCCCAGGCCTGAACCAGTTCCTGTGTTTATTCCATGTGCTTGTGCTCAATAAAACTTGTTAAACTTTTCATCTCTTTCTGTGGTGTTCTGCATACTGGGCTTTTCTGAAACCCATCATGACAGCAATAACCTCTGTGTAGCAAATACCTTTAATCATTTTTTAACTTGTTTTGCTGATTTACCTTGCTCTTCTTAGATTACACATTTTCTGAGTATCTGCACCCCACTTGTGTGTTAAAAAGAGCTGCTGTAACAAGAAAATGTATCTTATTTTAAAGGTGGTATATAATGAATCCATAAACAAGTTGTATTGGCTGGATGTGGAAACCCTTTGTCAAGCTAGAACCCAAACAGGAAATCATATTCAACACTTCACCTTTATCTCAGCAGAAAAAATTACACTCACCTATCATAAACATTGAGCAGCCAGTTGAGGCACATATCAACGCAGAGAGGAATGTTGACCAGAATGGACCTCTGCTCCTCCAACCTCTCGTAGATGGCAGTCAGGCCATGAATCACCTCCACAACATCCATCACGTGCTCCCCCTGATGCAGCTCCTGCTCCCGAAACACGTCCACCAGGCTGCTCAGCGCCACCAAATCCACTGAAAACAACACGCAAGCTTTCATTTCAAATACAGATATAAAGCATTGACTAAGTTGAAGTATTATTCAAGAAAAAAACTTTTTTTATATACTAATGAGAAATTAGATTCCTGCATATTCTTCAGGATTAAAATATACTTAGATTCAAACCAACATTTATGTGAATACAACAGTCATAACATACAAAACAACCTAATGTAATAACCATGAGAAAAAATAGCTATTAAGAAATGATTAATAGTCATCAAACAGTACTAATAATTAATCTAGAATGTACTCTGTAACTATTCATTAGGTTAAAAAAATAGGAAACTATTGTGAACAATTCTAATTTCTACTCTGAAAACTACCCTACAAGAAGATTTAATGACAACGACCCAAAGTTTAAAACCTTAATTAGCTGATTGAAATCAAAACTTTATCAGGAGCTGCTCAGCCTCTCAGGTGTATCTGGCCATGCGAGCTGGTTGATAGCTGTGTTGACTGGCACTGGAAGAATGGGGGCACATTTTAGAATAAATCAAGGATTTGGGTTAAAAAAAGGAGTAACAAAACAAGCCAATAAATCTTGAGATAGAAAAATGTTGTATGGTCCATTTTTTTTAAAAAGGGTCTCCATAGTGGCAGAGGATTCCAGCCAAGCTAATCCTAAAGTCCTGCTCCTTTAACATCTAACCAGCACAACCAGAGAAAATATTGCACTTTGCCATGTATAGAGCAATCATCTTCATTCTATGTGGACAAGTCTTACATGTCTGCAGGCTCATAATCCCAGGATATAAACCTTTGCACAACAGTGAAATAAGGAAATGCTTTCACTCTATCCACTGATCTATATACAGGTGAGGATTTCAATGACTGCAAGATCAACAGTGCTTGTTTGTGTCACATGTTTCATTGATAGTTTTACAATAAATTAAACATGAGTCTTTCTCAATATTAAGTACACATTCTGTTAAGGGCTTAAAACATTGCATTTAGTTCTTTTATGCTATATTTGAAAAAAAAACAAAAAACATAAAAAATGAGGCCTACAGAGCATGTTTTGGCTTTTTGTGCAGGAAATTTCTTTTCAGATTAGTCTAGGGGCTGCTTTTCATGCCCCCACCTGAAGGCTGTGCCCCTTCAACCCGCAACCACGATGACTGAAAATAGCGACTAGGAGCATGGAATAATACATTAGATGAAGGCTGAAGCTTCTGCTACAAATCGCTCTGGATAACTTATTTCCCCTTGTGACATCATAAGGGGAATGTTTTTCAAAGAGAGTATTTTAAGCACACATTATCAAAGAGGGGAAGAAAGGCAGTGAGAGAGGGAAAAGGGTTTCTTTTTATTAGTGAAACTTCTCAGGGGAGAAGTTGCAATAAGTGGCTATTTACCAATGTGGGGATAATGTCACATGATTTAATATGATAACTAGCCAAATTCAAGCACACAACCTACAAAAACTAGCACAACATAATTATTCACTTGCCAGTGATTATAATTGTTCTAGACCAAGGAGTGTCACAAGTGTGGATGACAGGTTTTTCCATCTAAAATCAAAGACAAATAGATTTAAAATAATCTGAAGAAAACAGCGTTTGTGCATTAAATGTTTAATCCTGTGTTGTTTTTGGATTGCAGTTGGAATTTAAAAAATTCTTAAAATGTGTTAAGGTAATGCAAATCAATACGCATGTAAATTTCTGTCAACTTATACATCAGTCCACATCACTCCTTCTGAACACAGACCTGTGGCAGCAGTATCTTTTTCTACTCTGCAACAGCAGTTCTTATTAAACCAGTTTGGCTACTTAAGCCCCCACCATATGTTTCAAGAGCAGGGACACAAATTTCATTTAGCTCTTATAAACTAATTTGAGGGCCCATCCTGGGAAGCGGAGCTAAAAGGGTGTCCGTTGATGCCAGGTATAATTGGATAGCACGATAATCAGAACAGGGATAGGAGATAAGGGGAAGTATTCTCATGGTTGAAGGGGAATCACCCAAAAATGTTATTTTTGAGGAGCTCCAAAGCAGATCTGGTCAGCTATTTATTGTGTGCACGGGTGGGAAGAATGAGGATTCTGGAGTTACCAAGGCAGCCTAGCAATTAAATTCAGTAACAATATTGACTCCTAGACCCAAGGAGGGGAAGATAACTGCTGGAAAGAGAAAGGGACTGTAAAGGGTTTCATACTTATGCTAGCTGGGCTTCATTAAAGCAAAGTTCTGTAGAAAGGAGGGAAGGTTAGAATTAAATTGACAAAGAAATATGATAGAAATGAAATCAGCAAAAGGGGAAAAATTGGACAAGCTCTAACTCTAGATGAGGTAGAGTTAGAGCCTTTTAAGAGAGAGAAAAGTGGTCGAAAAAGAGTCATCAACCCTGATGGGACCAACAATAAAGCTTCAACCAAGCAGCTAAAACTAATTAGCTTTCATTTTGTAACTCAAATGGACCAATTAATAGCAAATTAACCAGAATGCAGGGTTTTGATGACAGCGAGGAAGCATTCTGGCAAGTGGGTAACTCCAGTGGGATTATCATTACTTCTGATTACAGCATTTTTAAGCCTATCCCAGGAGATTTTTTTTATTTATTTACTGTTTCCAAGCAGAGATGAGGATGCCATGACGCTTTTGAGAGTTGACTGAACAGATTAGCCACAGCTAATCTTTACATCACAGAAAACGGGTCACCGTGAATTTCTGGTGTTGCAGGATAACAGAATATCATTTAAGCAATCTGCCAAAGATATAATATTCCAAAAAAATATGAAACATACATCTTAAAGCCTTCTGAACCCGGCGAAGCTTCATAGCTGTTCTGTATGCAGAGAACTTGATGTTGTTCAGATCCGCTGGTGGAAGGAGGAAGAGATATAGAGAGAGTGATTTAAGAGATGAGTAGAAAAAATTATCCATTCATAACAAGTATCTACCCTGCGACACAAGAACAACACATGCAATCCATCCTCTTTGTTTATCACAACATGCAGATGTCAGTACTGTAGTATTTGTTGAATCCTTATCCAACCATGTATTTTTGTGTGCACATGCATGTCCAGGTGAGCCTGTGACAGTGTGGGTATCTATTTCTGCAAGCTCCCCATGTCTGATGAGATTAACCGCGAAACACATCATGTCCTTTAATCACAATTAATTAGAGGCTAAGCAGGAAGCAATCACAGCACTGGCAAATTGGGGCTCGTAGGTTAATGACAGTAAAAATGTAGCCCCCGAGGTGATTGAGATGCGGGTCGTTTAATGAGCTGCGAGATAAGGCCCTCGCAGCTGAAGCCCAAACTTGTGGTCGATTCTGCAGTTCGATCGGGGTCACGGAAGACTGAGCAGGACGTCTTGTCCCTTCACTCACCCAGTGCTTGGTACAGCTCTGTCATCTTTGGATGGTCCCAGCATGTCGTCTGGGCCTGATGGCTGAAAGAAAAAGAAAAAAAGCCTAATAATTTCATGTAGCAAGGAAACAATAGGAGTGGACCTAGTAAAAGGAGAATACATTTTTTTAATGATACAGGCAGAAGTTCAGCATAATGGAAGAACTCATGTTGAGACATTGGAATCAGAACATTATGTCTGCAACACTCATAAACATAACATTATCCGACTCATACCTATCTTAAGAAAAAAAATGATGTGGTTTCCTCTAAGGAAACATTCAGGAAATGTATCATCTATAAGATGGATCCAATAAAAGGACAAGAGCAGCAGAATAAATGAGAAAACCCCAGAGCAGGAAGTCTGCCAGAAAACATGGGTCTCTTAGGGCTGCAATCATCATTCTACCTGCACAACGCTCATTGATTACTGAGTAGAGAGCTACTCAGATGCTATACATCTCCCATCCCCACTGGAATAGGAATACAGTCCATAAAGCACTGACTGGCAGGCTAAACAAAGACCCACAAGGTTGTGTTGCAGATGATTAATAAGATAAATACTGCAAGTCTACAGAGAAACAAACCACAGAAGCGTTTGTTCAGCTGCAAATATACTATTCAGAACAAGTCATTCTTAATATACATAAAGTTTATTCATAAAAAAAAAACACAATATAATATTGATCAGATGAACTGATGAATAAATATGTGCTTAGCCAGAAAACACACAAACAATGGCCTAGCAGTTCTGTTACTGGTCTCTGGGAGGACAAAGAGGCACATGGTGATAACCTTTGAATGTACAGGGATGCTAAATCAGAATTCATACAGAAAGAGCCCAAAGCCAGAAATGGAAACAATCCCCATCCATCCATCCATTTTCTGACACGCTTAATCCCAAGTGGGATCGCGAGGGGTGCTGGTGCCTATCTCCAGCTGTCTACAGGCGAGAGGCGAGGTACATCCTGGACACGTCGCCAGTCCATCGCAGGGCGGAAACTATCGCCAATTTGTTCTATTTTTGTTCACTGAATGACTCTTAAATTAGAAAAAGACAAATAGTTAATTAAAATATGAGTTTTTAAATGACATTTGCAATTTAGAAAACAGGCTATGGATTTAAAACGATTTGTTCCATAAAGTGGTTGCACAACCTTTGATAAAAAGAACTACTATCAAACTTTTATGTTTGTCAATTAGACTTAACTTCAGTGTGGAAAACTCTCGGCCACTATTCTTTTGTAGAACTATCTTAATACAGTCACAAAAAAAAATGAAGAAAAAAAGGCCAACATGTTTAAAATCATACCATACTATCTTAATTAGATTAAGTATAAAATATTAATACGCCCTCCAATCCCAGTCATGAATGGCGAAGGACAGCTATAACCTCAAAGGATTATCTACAAGCAGGCATTGATAAGATGAAATATTCCTTTTTTTTGACCAATGAGTGAAGAACATATAGGAAGGAGCATACATCTAGAGAAGCAGCAACAGCAAGCTAGTCATTAGGAAGCTGTTGGGATCCTCAGGCTTGCCCACCAGAGGGCGCTGAGGATCCTCCTCTGTTTTATGTTGTTTTTCTGTTAGGACTGGGGTTACTGTTGGGATCTGGAGAGTTACCATCTGTCTCCAGCAGAGTGCGCTGTGGGTCTCCTGGGCTGGAGCCCTCCAGCACACCTGAAGCTCGTCAGCCCATCAGGAGACCTTTCCTACTTAAGCAGCGACCAGACCTGTCTTCAACGCCGCAGTGTTGACTAAGTTTGGTTAGCGCACCTGAGCCTCTGTTGCCTGAAAGAATCTTAGTAGTTCTCAAGAGAGAAACCTGATTCTAACCTGCCTCTGTCTTCTTGCTCACAGGAAACCTGATGGAAGTCTGAAACTCTGGATGAGCTTTGTCTGGAAACCTGCCTGCCTGCCCAAGGAAGCCAAACCTGAAGGTCTTAGTCTGGATTCCTCCTTCAGCTCTCAGGGGAGAGCTAGGAAGTTGAACCTGAAGATCTCAGTCTGGATTCCTCCCTCAGCTCTCAGGGAAGAGCTAGGAACCAAACCCACGTTTGAGGCCCACTAGCCAGAAGCTAGACGCTGCTGCTGCTAACTTCAAGCCTCAGACCTCAGCCTGCCACCTGCCTTCGAACCCTCCTGGTTCCCTCCTTCGTCCTGCTAACCTCAAGCCTCAGACCTCAGCCAGCCGTCTGCCTCTGAACCCTCCTGGTTCCCTCCTTCGGCCTGCTCACCTCAAGCCTCAGACTTCAGTCTACCGTCTCAGAATCCGCCTTGGACTAATCTCCTCTGCTGCTCAACTCAGCTCCAGGCAGGAACTCAGCTTAGACCAGCCCTGGACCTGATGACTTCCTGATCTGCTTATTCAAATTATAATAAACCTTTGAACTTTTTCCCTGCCTCCTGGTTGTGTTTCTGCATATGGGCTTGAATCCTAAACCCATCATGACAGAAGCTTTTGTTCTTATACACTTTACTAATGTATTGCATTTGCAATATTTCCAGAAACCATATACAAATAAGTGTGAAAAAAAATTAACCCAATTTATTTCTCACAAATGTCTCTCTGTTAGTAGATCAATTACCTCATGTCTGTCTGCTGCCCCTGTCTTTATTGGATATCAGTTACTGACTGGGCATTGTATCTGATCAGACTTTTCAGATACGTAAAAAAACAGCTCTTTACATAATATTAGATCAGAGTGAAAACAGTTAAACTCAAGTTTAATATTACCACATACATATGGTAAGATTACATTATAAGTTTATGATCTATCTGTTTTATGATTCAGCATCTATCTATTTTAAATATTAATCACCTCAGTTCCCAGACAACAGTAACCTGTCATTTTACTCAGGCATGGAATCAATACTGTAAAGAGTTTGTCTTCTTCTGAGACAAATGACCAAACCTTCCGAGGCTGAATGTTTAGAATTTTGTCAAATATTTCAGGACATTATTTTTTGTACAACACAAAGTGAAAAAAAATATTCAACAATGATTAATAAATCAACAAAACTTACTTTTGCTATTTAACTAAGAAATGTCATAATAAACATATATTAAAGTTGATTAAAAAGCAAATTATGGAATACCTTGCAAGCAAGAGTCACAGCATTTGGCCACAAACTCTGCAAAATACCTCCTACAAGGAGCATACAGATGCTTTACCCTTTATACAGAAATGTTTCAGACCAATGTAATGCAGTGACATCTATGTGATCACTGTGTCAACCAGAGGCAGAAGGCTGAAGCAGAGCAAATATAGCTGCACCTGGTTTAGCTGGAATACCCTCTATTTCTTTTGAGAAATGAGCAAAAGGATATAATTTTGGGCTTTGTAGATGGGATGATGGCTGTGGGTTTCCCCTGACGTTTCTCTCCTGTTTCCACCCCTGTCTGGGGTGTGTGTGGGTTGGGAGAGATGAAGAAGCTAAGGGCCGACTTTCTCAGTTATTGATTATTTCACATGCTTAAACAGCTGTTACCTCAGGAAATGGCTGATCAGAAATGATTGTTCCCCCATAGTGAGCTGCCCTCATACGCCACTTTTTGCAGCATTGTCTCCGTGCAGTGTGCATGGCTGTGGCATCTTATCACAAATAGCAGGGGCGCCTAAAGCTGCATGGGACTTCAATTTGCCAATTCTCTATACAGTAATAAGATAGATAATGACAAAAAAGCTGTTGTGGTGCACATGATTTTTAAGTTATTGTATTGACATGGAGTCCCCTATTAGTCATGGCTACCTTGATTCTAAAATCTGTCGTTGACGCAAAGAATAAGCAGCCATTCTTTGTCTGGTTTTGCTGCAATTTATACAGCAGCACCTGGCAGGATTTGCTTGTTGTTCTTTCCATTTATGCCCTAAACAGTATTTAAAGTTAATGTAAGGTGTCAATATTGGTGTTCTGAGATTGTCAAACCATAATGTGTTACAATCAACAAGCCAAATTTGAATAACTAAAAACACTGCAAAGCATGTAAAAGTAGGTCTCAGAATTATTGAAAACAACACCAGATTTCCCTGCACTGAAACCCTGGGAACGTGTCCTCTGGTTTACACAGCAGCCAATGTGAATAAGAACTTTCTTTTGCACTGTCGAGGTGGCTTGCCTTTTAGGTAAGAGAGCTCTGACAACTTTGCAACACACAGGACTTGAATAGTGTGAGGGAATTTAGATACACACTCTAGCTTGTCATAGATATTTGTAGAGCAATGCAATAGAAAATTATATTTAGGTTGCTCCTCTTTGATCATGTAAACAAAATGTTAACATCTACAGATGTTACATATTATTCAACTGAATATGATTGAAAGAGGTTCTTGGGAAAAAAAAAATGCTTTTACATGGCTAACTATACCATTGAGTACGACCTCTCAATCAGTAAGCTTTTTTGTTATGGTTGTGTATTTTGTGTAATAATTACCAAGGTGTCAGGTCTGTCACAGATCTGCCTGTGTTTTAGATGAGCCATCAAGCATTTCCTCCAAATTACTGCTCGCCTTATCAACCTAACTTTCTTGGTCTTCAACTGGTACAACTCTGGTACTCAATGGCTGTGGTAAGGGGAAGGGTGAAAAAAAAACAGATTCAATGTATTGAATTCAGCTCTGTGATGAGAGAGCAGCTCTATTAGCAACACCCAAAAAGTCCTGAAATACGGGAATTGTCATGATCTTGGCCATGATGAATGGATTATTAGTTTGTTCCTTCCACCTGCTTAGCTCCACCTCGTTTTCCTCTGCCCTCATCTTATCCACCTGTTCCAGCTCCTATTTATGCTGCCTGTTTCCAGCCATCAGTACCAGATTATTCGAGCTCTGTGAGAGTAACTTCCTTTGTGTTTCTGGTGACCGTTTCTGCCTCTGGACTTCAGAGTTTTGTTTGCCCTGTTTCTGGTCTGCTTGCCTGATCTGTTTTCGGACTGTTTCCTGGATTCTGCCTACTAACGACCTTGGATCTGCCTCCTGACACGGGCGTGGATTCTCCTTTGGTACCTCTTTGGCTCTCTAATGTTCTGGCCTGGAAATCTGCTCCTGCTACGACTCTGGCTTTGGATTCTCCCTATGAATATGTCTGCTCTTCCGCGTCTGCTGGCTTCTGCTCATCAGTCTGCTCTGCTTCTCACTTAGTACTCTGGGGGCGGCTCCCACCGCATGCTGTGGAGAAACAATCCTTCAGGATTCCACTACTTCCTCTAGGCTCAGACTGAACTCTTAACCAGGTTAGAGACTTACATGCTCGTAATCGTTGCCAGTCTGAGTTTCGTAGTCACTAACCTGATTTTCCACCTCTACAGAGTTTCCAGCAATCCTGCTTCAGCTGTTAAGCCACTGTATGCAAAGCAGTAATACACGCTTAATTGTGAAAACACTCTGATCTGTCTGCTTGTATTCTGAGTCCTTCGTTTGGAGCCTTCTGATAGAAAACTTTAACCTAAATTGAATTATAGCTTCATGATAAAATTCTTAATGGTTGAGAGACTCTTAGCAAGTTTAGAAGAATGGATTTATGACATTTATAAGGTGTTCAAAAGTAAATGGCAAGATTATTTTTACACTTTAATGTATTGACATAAATCTATTTAATTGTATAACAATTCAGTTGACTTTGAATGCCAATTTTGTGCAAGATTATTTAAAATAAGTCACTTTTTACTATCATATCACCTTACATTAAATGCTCAGAATTTGTGTGCTTCTAATATAATAACATTGAGAACTGATGTTTCTTTTTATTGTGTTTACATAAAATAGCAGAACAATTAAATTACAAAACTAACTGGGGCTTTTATGGGTGCACCTTAGGTGAAAAGTGCTGTAATAAACTGCCTACTGATCTCCATGTAATTGCCAAAGAAGCCGAAAAACACAGCAGACTGAAAGAGCATTTACTACATACTGTATATGTGTGATAATCCACTGCATAATATCTTTAGAAAAAGCATCACACCAAGCTTTGTGTGTGGTTGTTTTTATAATCAAGGCAACCACCTCTCGTCTAGTCATTTAACCTGCCGTTAAAAAGGTGAGCTTATCTGGACAATGCAAACACTCATCACAAAGCTGTACTTACTTAATGTAGTAGGGCACTTTGTTTGGGGAGATGGCACGCTCCCATGGTATCTGCACTGAACCTGTGCAAACACAAAGAGAGGGGGAAAAAATCAATTTCAGAATGGTCCCGTCATGCATGAATTGCCATTGTGCCAGTGCGCCTGACAGCGTGTCCAGACAGTGTCCATTCAGACCTTTCCTAACTGAGCTGCTCCCCTGTACAACAGGTGCAGTGAAGCCAAAAAAAACAAGTTCATTGTATGAAGGGGTTTTCACAGACTGTTGGCTTGTTTAGCATTGAGGAATAGATCACAGCTAGTCAGTCAGTGAGTATGGACCCTTTAAAGCATTTATGGAGCGCAATCACACCATGCTTCAGCCCACATTTGCATTAAGAGCATCAAAAAAGACTATTACACCATCAGTTGTTGGGATATTAGACTTACACGTGCAGAACAAAATGCATTTGACTTTTCCTGAGGTCTGAATAAATAAAATGCAGTGCATAAATAGAGTCAGATACATGTATATGTAAGGGACAAGGAATTTATTTATTTTTTTTTACATTAAATTACATTAAAATAAAATTCTATTTGAAAACAATGACAATATATTTGTAGATGACATAAATAGCTCAAAATTGCAGGATGTATGGAACTATATAATTAATTGCATAGGTAACATTTGTCCAACATGCTGTCTAGTCAAAGTAAGGATGAAAATCTATTAATGAAGGGCTAGCATCTATAGCACAGTTCCTCAAGTCTGGTCCTCGAGGTCTGATGTGCTTCAACATACCCAAGTCGAAAAATCTGCTCATTAGCAGGACTCTGGATAACTTAATTGCATACTGAGGAGTGTTGAAAATTGATTCATTTTTATTTTATTTTCTGCTTTTAAATAACTGTTACATCTGTTCATTTCTATACCTGTTCAAACAGACATTCTTATGCTTACATATGGTGGCCAGAGGGGCTCCAGCATCACCTTATATGGTAATGCTGTAGGCCTGGATGCTGATTGGGGGCTTTTGGGAGAAACACTTTCTGACTGACTTTTAGATAAAATGCGAAATACTGCATAAGCTCTCTGCCCTTTCAGTAGGTTCGCATCTAAATGGCTGAGACATAAGGGCCTAATAGAAGGTGAGATCTTCCTCTGCCATTTAGGCTTTTATCAAGGATTTTGTTAAACATGACTGAAATTAATTCTTGCTTAAAAATGTTTACTCCTTTCTGTATGCTGTCTGAGAAACAATACCTCCATGGATCTGGACCAGGTAATAAAAGAGTGAAACAACAGGAGGTAATTCAGCTATTTTAATCAGGTGTGGAAGCAGAAAAATGCCTGAAAGGTGCAGGACATGGGGCGTTGAGGACAGTAATAGAGGAACCCTGATCTCTTATATGACGTAAAAACATAAAACTACCAAGTCCTCAGGAACAACATAAGGTAATGAAATGAAAAAGAAAGAGTAACAGATATAGAAATCAGTCTGATCAATGGTAAAGATACTTATGTCTGAAAAACTAAAGATGCTCCTCCATGGTACAAAATGATAAGGGATAGATTTCCATTGTTCAACTGATTATCCTAGGCTTCATTTGTCCACATATGCTTATGGCTCCAATCAGTTAGGTGGAATGTGTATGTTTCTTACAGGAATAAAAACAAAAGAATACTTTTGAATTTTATGCTTTTCTAAAGACACGAGAAAAGGTTATTGACTCTGGATTAGAAGCTTTAGCTTCTCGTATTCCACTCTTGGTTAAGTCCAGAATAGAACAGAGAAAGATAATCAGTTCTATCAGCATTATATCAGAATTAAAGGGTTAGTATTTGTAAAGATGAAAAATCAGACTGAATGTGACTATTTACTCAGGCTTCTGTTAGTTTATTCATAGAAGGGATCACTCATTAGTTCTTTCTTTCCAAACATAATATTTCGCTTTTTAATACAACACATTACATTCATTCACCCACAAACCGTTTGTCTAAGAATCCTTATGAGATACTGGCATTATCTTTTATAAGCTAGAGTTCACTTTTATTAATAGAGCAGAGGTTTTCTCCTCTTTGTGTTGCTGCACACAATGTTCTCAACATGATGGGCTCATTGAGTCCTCCTCCATAGAACAACAATGTCCTTCAGCTTCCTAAATCTATAATTTCTCTACTACAGATTTATATTTTAGAATCCATTTTTTTTTTTTTGGATAAATCTATAGGGATGTTTTTTGTTGTTGTTGTTGTTTTTCTTTTGCAAAGTAACATTTAATCACTAACTGTGGGGCTTAATGCATTTATAAGTTTCACCAAACATGATGAGTTAAGAGAAAAACACATATAGAGATCTTGATTTATCACACATGGGCTGAGACAGCCACAGCAATGCTGTAAATTAACCAAAGTGTGGGAACTGTAAACAACATTCAGCAGCAGTTGTGGGTGGTGGAAAGAAGAGCTGTGCAACATTCAGTTCTAACGTTTCCATAGATAATCTGGGATAATCTATCAACAGGACAACCATGATTCATGTAGACTTCTTATAGGGTCTAGCCTTTATTGAAGGTTTGTAATGTTGAAAGAAAGTCACATTAAGCTCTGTTTGCATTTTGTCACACAGTGTAGGGGCCAAGCAGGCATGTCGAGGAAGTTTGGTCAAGCAGGTCTTAATGAAAATAAAAATAAAAATTAACTTCCACTTCAGATCTTCCATGTTGTTGTTGGGGTATCACAAAACATAAACAAACAATAAAGCAGACTAAAGCTTATGCTTCTAAAGTAACATGTTGTGTAAATTTGAGTTGTTTCTCTAGCTTAGTCCTTTTTTTCATGTAATAATAAGTAGACCACAGGCTATCAGCAGTGTTTCCTTATATTAGGACAGGCTTCAGGCCATTTACAATTTTCTTTTACTGATTTTTTTTTTCTAAAAATCACTCCGAAATTGATTTTCATCACAGTCAAAGTATTTTTTCAGTCTGAATATTTTATTTTTTGAATAAAATATTTCATCATGTTCAAATTTAATAGTCGCAGAAACTTGCTTATGGACACAGTAAATGTAAACATTTGAGAAGATCTTCATACTAATGCAATTGCAAAGTGAGCTTAATGTTATTCTCTTTGATTCAGAGATACATATTCAATGTACCAACCACAGTGGTTCACAGATTTAATCAGCCTTTTTCGTGTTTCAACATTTTAACGAACAAAAATGTGACTATGCCAATCATAAGTAGTGAGCTCAAGTCGAAGTTCCCCTAAAACTGCTATCCTGTAACTCTTAGACGAATCCATGATGAACGCCCCTGAATACGATGGTTGAATACCCTCATCAGCGTGTTATTCAGCACTGCAAAAGCCTGGTGATGAGCCATTTACTTGATTCAGGTGATTCCAGTTGCAGGACAGTTGCTCTCTAGGATCGAAATTAGGCACCCCAGTTTTAAGCCGTCATCCAAATTCGAGAGAAGTCAATTCTGGGCATTCTTTCAGTTTGAGAAATGAAATTATGATTTGTGCATTCACCAGCACTGAACCATATCAACCACCACCATTTTAAAAGCCTTGGTATACCTTGATATCAGTGACAGCCACATGTCTGATGGCAGCTACTCATCTTTACATCACTAGAGGGAACAGAACCAGATGCTTCCATTTCATATACTCACATACAAAAAAGGCCTACAATGTAGAGCTTTTACACTTCTTTTTCAATTTAAATTAGATTACATTTTCAGGCTCCCTACTGCTTTTCCTCATCCTCAGCAGAACAGCATGTAGAGGAAGAGACAGAATGTATAAATGTGGCTCTCTGATCAAATTAGGGCCACGTGTACCAGAGGAACAAAGCTCGGCAGCTCCACCTGTAACCTAAAAGCACTCACACACACACAGCAGCTTATAGCCTCAACACCGCCTTATTGTATTACCCAACCCAAAAACCCAAACACAAACACATACAAGCATCTAGTTTTTTTGAGGTAGTGCCTTGGCACAGCATGGCACAGACTGTTGCAACACAAGGCAGTGACTTCAAATAGCAGAGGAGGAATCTTACTGGAGAGGAAGTGCTGCGATCCGGGGCCAAAGTCTCTGTGTGCATCCTGGAGCTGCTTCAGCCGCTCCTCTATGGAGCCCTGAGGACACACACAAAGACGCTCACAAAGTTAAATCAAAGAGAATCCTGCTGCTCGTCACTCCCTATCACAAGCTCCCACAAAACGAAAACAAACAGAGGCACAGGCTACCTGCTTCTCCTCCATTAGTAAACTGCTGAATGCAAATTAAGTGGAACGTGATTGTTTTTTTTTTTTTTTCTTTGCTGTGCCGCTGCAGCTCCTAGAAGACCATGAAAGCGCGTGAAGACCAGGTAGAAAATGAAGACAGAGATTAGCAAATTTTCTATCATGTGAAAATGAAGACAGGCTGCAGAGTGGATGTGGAGGGAAGCTGCATGAGGAAAATAATGAAATCAGTGAAAATAAGGGAGTTCACAAAGCATCAAACCATGGAGACTGAGTTGACAGAATTAAGTTTGACTTTGCTACGCTACAAAAAAAAAAGCACCTTTATATTTGGTAGGTTTCCCATCAAATGGGATTTAGCCTGTCTAATCCTAGTTATTTAAAAAAAAAAAGTATTGGATTTGGCACATAAATCCCTGTCAGCTGGATGTTAGAATTCCTCCTCTAACAATGGGAGATAAATCCACTCACTGAGGAGAATACTCTGAAAAAAATAGATGGGGGGGGGGGGGGGGGAGATAAAGAAGACAACGCTCTCTTAAAAGAAGAACCTTATTTTAGTGAAAATCTACCATTACGACTCCACCAGAAAAAAGAAATAAAATAAAATACAATCTGTGAATCTTGATTCAAATTGTTTAACACTAATGGAGAACACTGTCACTGCGCCGGGGAGATGTAACTGCCAACTTTGCTGTGTTCTACTATCTATTTGCTGCACGGACAATTTGTCTTCCATAAGGAAGACAAATGACTAAATTACCAATGAACACAAAATATTAGCAAATAAAATCTGGAACTAAATTACTGCTGGTGTCAGACAAACCAAAATAAACAGCACTCAATCTGTTACAGGAATTAAGCATCCAGTATTTCAATGAAGACAGAACTGAAACCAATGACATTTTTTCTTTTCATTCCACTTACACTGGAAAATAGATGCCAACACTATATATAGCTCATATTTCATTGTGGTTCACTTCCAAGCACCCAGTACATTCATGCTTTTTAAATATTTGCTTGGCATTTAGTTGCTTTTGCACCAATGTTTAAGTTAAGTTTTTATACCTGCTTATAAGTGCATATCGAACTAAAACTCTAGAAATGTGGAAAGTAGAGAATAAAAACAGTATTATTAGTTAGTAACAAAAAATTAAATTACATTTTTTTAGATGAAGAGTGTGTAAAAGTCAGGTACTGAAAAGGGTTTTCGCTAATAATGCTAAGAATAAGTGCAACTGTTATGTATTTTTCGTTGAAATGAATATATCTGTGTGAATAATCTAAATATTGCTGTGGATCGCATGTAGGACATTATTGTTTAAATTTTCCCTTTAGCTTCTATAAGTTGCAAAAACATCCAGCAAACCAGATGAATAATACCAATAACTTTTGAGACAAAATTTAATCATTCTGATTCTGATATAGATCTGAGTGCTATTGACATAAAAAAATAAATTGGCAGGATAGCGAGCAGATGATTAATAGAAAGTGTTTTCAAAGATACACACCTGTGATATTCTGAAAACTTGAAAGCAAAATACAAATTAATAACTTTTGATTATTTAATAATCTCTTCACATAAATATTAAATCAGCCAATGACTTTACAACATCTAGCTATGCTAAATATGACTTGCTAAAGTTTAGAGATAAGCAATAGTCTTTCTTGTTTAAATTGAGACTTGCGCAAAAGTTGTTACAATTCGTTTATTTCTGTCATCTAAATGGAGGAAGAAAAATCTAAACTGGCTTCAAGAATGAGTGCAGCACAGGGGATCTGTGCTAATGGTTCATGTGAGAGAGAGAGCAGAGTTGCATCTTAATGGGTTCAGGTAAGCTGATTCAGAACAAATATAAAGAAGGACTAATCTGGAAAAAAAAACTCCCTTTTATCTTAAGGAAAAAATAACCATGAATGCATTGAGTGTTACAGTGCTTTCTCTTTTTTATATATCTACAAACATAAGCCTGAAATGATTTTCCATATGATCTGCTTTGACATATTGAAAAGTCTCATAATCCATGTGGGGATAGGAGTCTAAACCAAATAGGACTGAGTAATGACAGGAAAACATGTTTTTCAATAATATTGTAACATATGGGCACATATTTTTTTAATCTACCAAAACAAGAAAAAAAAAAAGACAACAGCATGTCACGCTTTCTAACTGGGAGGCTTACAAATCTTACACGCTGAGACTCTGTTCTGTGTTTTCTCTAAGATAACTGTAGGATTCTGGGCTAATTCTGAACCACAGATGCCACTTCAAAGCAGAACAAAGTGGGGATGCAAACTGGGTAGTGGATATAAATTTCCAAGGACAATTAAAGAGACTCTAAGTCATTATGTTACGAAAAGAGAGACAGAGAGAGGATAAAAAGATGTGCTGGCTGACATTTCAGACAGTGAAATATGATGTCATGAAGGTTATCTAATGGGAACCGGATGTTTTAACATCAGGTGAAAGCTGAGTGGGTTGTATTTGACTGGTAGGAGCAGAGACAGTTTACTGATGGTCGATGCAGCTGATGCTTGAAAAGCACTACAGTTTGCCGTGGTAGTGCATCTATACATTCAGCTCAGCACTGAAGTTCAGGTCAATGTTTTTAAGGATCATTGTGATAGCACACTGCAAATATCAGAGTATAACAATCTCAACAGGATTTCTTTTTTTTTTTTTTTTAGATCTCTAGAGCGTCATGTTTGGGGAGAACCTGAGATTTTTTTCCAGCTTTATGTACTGTATTATCCTGCTGCAGCTTAGTGTTCTAAGAAGTATTTTTTTGATACAGTGTTAATGAATAAATTCTTGTTGTCAACAAGGATATATCAAAACTGTACCAATTAGAAAAATAAAACAAATATGAGTAATAACAGAATCACTGCATCAGTGATTTTTTTCTCATGTATTCTAGCTGTCCCAGCAGGGTGGACAAAAGCCTCATCTTGGAATTTAATAACATTTTAAAACAGAGTTTTATATAAAAACTCCCAAATTCCTACTGACGTCTTTCAAGGCAGGATTTAAGAGTGTTCATGCTGGCTTTTAACTGCCTCTTGATATTACTATCATGTACCACTTTTGATGATCCCCAAAGCAGAAGCTCTCAGCCATATAAAGTATTAAAGATATGAGCAAAATACAAAAAAATGACTCAAAGTTGTGGCTTGCTGTGCAATTCAAATGGGTAAACCCAAGTCTTAGATTTATTATCAAATTTAAAATGCATGCAAATTGCTTAAAATATGATGTGTGCTGAAATCTGAAATTAATTCTGACAAAAGAGATCAGTCAGTCACCATTGGGCTTTGCTGCTTTACAAAAACAGGGAAGGTGAGTAAAGAAGTCTGCAGTGTACGAAAAGGTCCCTATGGACAGGTAATAATGTCATGATCTTGGCGCTGATGTCTGGTCTGATTGCTAAATTCATTCACCTGCTTATCTCCACCCAGTTCTCATTAGCACTCATCTGATCCACCTGCTTCAGCCTTTATTTATCTAGCCTACAGGCTAGTCAGCAGAGTCAGATTATTTGAGCCTTTGGTGAGAATTCTTTAGCGTTCCTGTGTTTTCTGATTGCCTGATGCTGACCCGTTCTGCCTTTGGACCTCTGAGCCTGCCCGTCCTCATTCAGTTTGCCTGACCTGTCATCAGACTCCTGCTCGATTCTACCTGTTTACCAAACCTGGAACTATTCCCCGACACCGTTCTGGATTTCCCTTGGGCACCTCTTTTGACCTCTGATCTCCTGGCTCTAACTACCGAGCATGTCTTCGACACCAGCTTTGGCTTCACCCTCTGGGTTATCCTGTCATCCTTCGTGTGCTCGGTTCTGATCTCCTGCCTCTCCTCCGACCTCCGAGGGATCAGTGCCTGGGACGCTCTGGGCAGAGCGTGCCGTATCTCGTTGGTAGCCTACCAGCTGGAACCGACGTTATCCTCTGGGCACGGACTGAACTAGTTCTAGGAATATTTGCTTTAGATCACATCTCTACCTGTTGGCTGAAGTGGAGGCACCAACCACACAATGCAAACTGCTTGCCTTTTTAGTACATGATGGACTATTTATCTGCAATCCTGTGTGGAGATTAAAGGATTCTAAAACAGAGCACATGAAAAACCTCTGCAAAAATGAAGCAGACTGCACTGCTTTTGCAAATTCCCCTCAGGGCGTTGAGATTTGGTCAAAAACACTGATTCCGACAGAGACTTCTCTTTAAATGAAAGCAAGAGGAAAATTGACCACAACAAATGATGTAACTTATTGACATGAAAGATTTTTTTCTTTCTACTTGGATAGAATCCTCTATAACCTTGTATATTACACTTGTATTTACACTTTTGGATTCTTTGATTACTTCAGGGTAAATTATTGCTGGCAGCATCAATCATGAAGCACAAACCTGCCAATAAACTCTACCTGAAGCACTTTCCACCTGCTGTTGAGATGCTCCAGAGCACGAGCATTTTCCATAGACAAATGGACATCCGAGATTGCCAGTTGGTGGGCTAACTCATTGACCTGCTTCATGCCCTCCTTCACCTGCGAGAGTTCCTCCTTAAATAACTGCAGGAGCACAACAGAGAAAAGAGACAGAGAGAGAAGAGCACAGATATTGAACATAGGAGCAGATGAAACCTTAAGATTTATTAATACAAATGTCAGAAACTTTGAGACACCTCCACTCAGCTGATCAAAGAAAATCTTTTTTTTTTTTTTACTCAGCAAGCTTTAATCTCTGTTAGACAAACTTTTTGACAGCAGCAGTATGCTTACATTTGAAAACTGAAGCAAAAGAATGAGTAATGATATTGACTACCCCTAGTATATGCAAATATGGGTAGTAAATAAGAAGGATAAATATTTGGGGTTAAAATGAAAACAGAATACAACATACTCAAGTATTGAAGATCAACAGAACAAGCTATTTGTTTTTATCTGGATATATTTTACTATGTAAGTTAAAATTAGTTGAAGCACAGAAAAAAAACTCCACAAAAAATCCACATTAATCCTCTGAAGATGCAGAAAAGTTAAATACAATACCATTAAATATAATAACAATACTGTTTTATATGTGTAGATAAAAGATTTTTTAACAAAAAAATCTACAGATATTTCAGTAAATTATGCAACAGCTTTTAAGGAAGTCAAAAAGAGTCATTCAAATATGTCACCTATGACCATAGGTTGATTTCTACATCCTATAGTTGGTTCATGTATATGGGCATCTACAAGTGTCAGAGTGAGGAAGAGCTGAGACATGCAGACGGGCAAGCTGACAAGCCTTCCCTAAAGACTGTGCCCGAACATGTGCTGGCTGTGACAGGGTGTCCAAACAGCGACATGATTTTTGTGAAGAGTCCTCAGTTATAATGAACAGTGCAACGCAATTATAGGCGGCAGCACCACTCGGCACTCCATAATGACTAAACCAATGACCTGTCATTTGTTTAACAACCTCTGTTCAGAGAAGGATCGTAACCCGTGCTGCTTGCAGCATCATTTTAAACTGGCATGTCTTTGTCATTGTCTGTCAGATCATAGCTACAACAGGATTATTTTTGCAGGCAAACAATCATTTTGAAGCTGCATTGGGTGATACAAATCTTGCATCCTGATGTGGGAGATCAGGGTTCAACTTTTTTTTTTTTTTTAAGAAAACTGATTTAAAAATCTTGTTTTTCAAGATTTGTAACTTAAAAAAGCTTAACGATGTGGACACTTTTGGGGCATTAAGAAAAAAAACAACAATCTACAGGAAAAACAGATTTACATTGGGTTAGTTATGTTGAATAGTTTGAGTGTTACAAGAGTTTGTGCTTTGTGTCGCTGTTTCCAGTGTGTGTCCACCTTGGTGGCATCAATGTGGTCCTGCAGAGAGTCTATAAAGAGGTCACCAACAGGCTCCCAGGCATCTCTCACACCCTCTGCCTGCTCTAGGGCCCCTGCAAGCTCCTCCATGGCTGCCTGGATCTGCAAGAGGTGCTCCAGTGTTCTCTCCATGTGCCTGCAGGTTTTGTTGAAATATACAATTAGGTAATCAGGATACTTTTCTTTTCTTTCCATCCATGGATGGATGGATGGATGGATGGATGGATGGATGGATGGATGGATGGATGGATGGATGGATGGATGGATGGTTTAAAACTGTTTATGCATTAGATAAATCATAGATAACATTTGAACCATTCAATTGTCATTTAGATGAATCACTATCCAGAAAATCTAAGACAGAATCCAATGTTAAGAACAAACAGTGATAAACGCTATGGCAACAGTGTATACACAATGTAATGCTGCAGGGAGTTTAATTTACAGCATAAAGAACAAGTATAAAGAAGCCATGCAGGATATTTATAGACCAGTTGAATAAAGATATCATCAACAGTATTTACAGATATAAAGTGCAGAAGGTAATGTTCTTCTGTTATAGAGTAGGGAGTGTGGGTACTGTAGGTGGCTAAGAGGAATAATGAGCAACTATAACGTGCTGTGAGAGTGTAGCAAGGTGAGGCTGCTTATTTTGTCAGACTGACTATCAATCTTTCGCTTTCTGAGGCAGAAAGCAAAATTAAGCTTTGCTTTCCAAAAAAGGAGGTTAATAACCACTCATTCATGATTTAGCATGAATTAGGGAGGTTATTCTTTTACATAATACCTTGGTTGGTTTGGATACTTTTTTAAGATAACAAATTATTTCAAATGTTTTGTTTGATAGTAAAATGAGCTGAAAAATCTGAAACGTTTAGTTTCAGTGGAAATCTGTAAGAATATGCAAATACCCATTTCCAGGATTTTATGCCTATAACTGTAATGCTTTTATGAGTAAGCAGCAGCAAAATACTTCTGATTGAGGTGAAACGCCCATGAAAAGTAATCACAAAAAACCTATTTGAAATTATTATTAAGAAAAACTGTGCTTACTGTTAACATTCTTTTAATTTATTTGAATATAATAGTTTATCATTTTATGGTAATGAAGTAGAGAAGCTGATTGAAGTTTAATTACTATACCTTGGTAATATCTATAAAGTACAAAAATAAAAAAGTCTCTGACCTGTGGCGGTCCACACAGCGAGCTGTTAGTTTTTCCCACAAGTCGCTGGCCACATTCGCCTGCTTCCACACAGATCGGCTCACATTCAAAATCCGCCGCCGTGGAGACACTTCTGTAGACAAAGTGGAAAGGAAAATGACTTTATTGAAGCACTAAACATCTATAACAAATCTGAAAAATAGAGAAATTAGTTTCCTCCTGATTGGTGCAAAAAATTGTGATCAAGAGTTGAATGGGAGAAGTTTAAGAAAAACAGACAGATGGGTAAGGAGAGAAAAATGAAAAGGAGAGAGAAAATAGCCTAGCACACTGTATTATTGATCTAAGCAGATGGTACAGTAGAGCTGATAAACTGGAGCTAATTGGTCCCAAACTGGACTCTTTCCCTAAACTTGGTATAATGCCAGAGTACAGATCAGTGCTACTAACAATTAATGGAGGATTTCACCTGCAAGGAGCCTAATCAAATGAACTCTGAGGGGAAAAATAAGTGTGACATTTTAGCTGGCGCAGCATTTGGCACCTAATATTGAGGGAGCAGACCTTTTCCGTCGGTCAGGGTCTCCTCAGGCTCCTGGAAGGGGTGCTGAGCCAGAAACGCCTGGGCAGACTCCAAAACCGAGTAGATGAAGGGCCCACGAGATTTGACATCCTCCATAAATGCCTGTGGGGGGTGGGGGTTGGGGAGGGGTGGGGTAATATTTGAAGAAGGATGACTCATGAAAGCAAAGCTGAACTTTGTCTTTGAATGAAAAAATACCATCAAATATATCAAATGAGAAACTGATTGGAAAAATCATTTTGTGGAACAAATTGTGCATAATTACTCTTTATCACTTATCACTCATGGCTTGTTTTCAAAAGCACAACAGGAAAACAACACTGCTTGAAAAAAGCTGAAATGATCATTTAATCAATTTGTATTTTTAGATTTTTTTATTTCGAGAATATTAAAAATAGTTTTTCACTCTTTTAAACACCACGTCTACACGTCGTTTTAGCAATTAGTAAATCTATTTAAAAAAACATTCAACATCCTTTAATTATTGTGATCACCCATTCTTAAAACAGGGTGCTAGAATGTCTTTAAAGAAATTATATTTTCAAGGAAGAGGGCAAAAATCTGTCCTCAATTTAGTTAATTTAAGGAAGGTTTCAAAAACTCTACTAATTACACAGTCAGGCTCTAATCTGTGTCTTCATACTAAGAGTATTTTAAGAGCTTTTTCCTTCCTGATTAGTGTTCATGTAACCGTGACCAAAGTAACAACATATCTTTTCCTTTGCATGTGTTGACATATTTTTATCAGCTAACTCGGTTAAATGAAATGCAGATTTCATTGAGGTACAGCATCAGCCTTGTTAGTGGATACAAACACAGCAAATAGGAGAGGAGTTAGCAGCTTTGAATACAGTAGCAGACATAATAAATGCTTCCACCAACAACTATTTAGCTGCTTTCGTAATTACTTTTATAACCAGGAGAGAAGTAATTATATCTCAGAACAATTAACTTGTGAATCTCTCGTGACTCTAAAGCTTCCAGGAAACATGATATTTACTTGCCTAATAAATTATTTATTTTTGTGTAAAAATGTATATAACAGCTTTTGAAATAAAACAACCCATCTGAGTTGCATCAAATGAGGTCTAAGAGAGAAATAAAGTCTGCATTCAGATTTCAGGCTTAAGGCACCAATTCATTCTTGACTTCTCCATATAAAGAAGAGTGAGTTGAAGTGAATGGGTAGCATGCAATGTTTGAAGACATTTTTAAGTAAGTGATGGACTGTATTCAGGAAATATGCATCCTTTCAGGTTTTATCCCACAGGATTACTTTAAAGGATTTGTGTTTGAACAACCACCTAAATCCACCACAATCAGTTAAATTCAAGGGCAAGTGTTGTGTTGTGTGTTACTTACCTCCCTAAATCCTGCTGCAGGGGAAAGTAGTGCTAAAGATACTTTATGAAAGGGATTTGACCATTTAATCAGGTTGTATTTTGACAAAAGCATGTCACAGTTTATTGAAACATTGGTAAAATGTCAGCTTGTGCCAAAAAAAATAATCTGTCTTCCTTAAAAGAGAACCTGCAAAACCAAACAGTTGTGTCTGCTTATGAACAACCAAAACTATACCTATAGAGAGTGTAAATCATCAAGCCGCTGTACATGGAGAAACAGTCAGCCTAGAGGCCCAAAGCTTGAAAGCTAACAGTACTTACTGTGCAAATCACAGAGTAGCAGCTTATCGTCGGAGAACACACACTTATGCCTCAACCTTTTTGCAATTCCCTTAACCCAGAGCATCCCCTTAAGCTTAGTAAAAAGTCATTGTGTCAACTTTCTCCATCTGTCCACACTAATCTTTGTTCTTTACAAAACACTCACTGCAGGTGCAAGACTAAGCACTAGGGATATTTCCTCTTTTCACAGTAATTTCTTTAGGCGGAGCCAGCATGTTGAATCCTCTTACGGTATAAAGAGATTACAATTCAAGCAAAAAAAAGAGAAAATCTACATCACTAGTTTGAATTGTTAACCTCAACTGTGACACTAATTCAAAGGCTTTAAACAAGAGCCCAACAGGCCCTATTAACGCCCAGGAAGTAGAGCTATACCAAAGCATTGACAAACACCGGCTGCCAATGAGCAAACAAGCAAAAGCATGTGACGACCGAAAGCTGGGGCGTGAGATAAAACTCCCAGTGCAACAGTCATGGAGCAAACCTGCCTGTCTTTCTCCACTTCTACTCACTTCAACCTCTTCACTCCCTACCCCTTTCTGAGTCCTCTCCAGCTCTCTATTCTTTCCCTCTCTATTTAGCTGCTTTGCTATGCAAAAGAGAAGCTGAGCCATGGATTTTCAGAGCCAGCTGTCATGTTAAAACTTTAATTCCACCAAAATTTTACACTCACAGGCTTCATCTTTGGTTGGAGGAACATTAACAGAGGAGCCTTCAGATCAGATTAAGATACATTATGCATGAAATGGAGAGAAGTCAGGGGGATGAAATAGCTTCATTGACTAAGTTTAAACGTGTTGATGGCATTAATTTTTGCTCCCTCTTGATGCTTCCTCTCAATGTGTGATACATTTTTATCTCATTTTACTATTTCACACAAGGCAGAAAATGCTACATAGATGAAATCTCTCCACTGGAGGAACGTTCATTTGTCTCAAAAGCCAGATCTATACATCCATGCCACTGCCAGAAAACACAACCCGTACATGGTATTCCAAACTAATATTGTTGCACGTATGTTAGTACAAAATAGAATTACAGTACAAACCAGATGTACACAGAGACTGCAGAATAAATCTACTTACAATCAATAATTCACATTTCTTTAAAAATGTTTCATTCTCCATAGAAAACTCTGAGGGAATTTCTCTTGTTGCTTTGTTGAAAAAGCAACAAGATAAATTTTTGTTGCGACTAAAAACACAAGAAGCAGAAACAACATGGATTATAAATAGTAGTTAAACTGAAAAATGGAACAGAAGATTTGGAGTTCCTAGACTCGAAGCTGATTCTTGTTTTAGTGCTTTGTTTAGAGTCAGTTTAGGAACTATAGCTCCAACTTCACCTGTTACAGTTATCTCCATTTAGAGATGGTATGGACATTGGAAAGGAGGCAACGTTATCATGTTTCTGATTTTTAACGGCAAAATTCATTTAAAAAAGAGCCTCAAATAAGTAAAATTAAATTGGTAAAATAACATTTATGTGCTTTTAAAAAATCTTCATATACAGTCTAATATAAAAAATGAAATTAAGAATTAAGAGACTTTTGTCCTTTGAAAAAACAGAAGACAAGAAAAGTTTTTGGAATATGAATGCTATTTTATTTATATTTTCTTTTTTCTTTATTTATAAAAACTTGGTTAAATATGGACTTAAATCTGGACTTCAGGTATTTTTAAGAAGAAAAGCAAGACTTGGGAGAGGAACTCAACATATTAATTTTCAAAATAAGATAACTTTATCCTCAATTTATCAATGTTCCCTGTAAGGGTTTTGCTAGAGAGATAAATATCTGGGGTTTTAAGATAGGTGGAAGAATTTGGGTTTTTTTATCAGCTCATTTATTTTCACAATGGTTTATATATAAGCTCTAATAACAGTTGTCTATGTCCAGGTTTGCAGCAGTTGTTCTATCTATCTATCTATCTATCTATCTATCTATCTATCTATCTATCTATCTATCTATCTATCTATCTATCTATCTATCTATCTATCTATCTATTTATTTATTTATTTATATTTAGCAGTTTTTTTGTATGTTTACAATATTTTGTAGAATATTAAGCATCTAAATTTTCTGTTTCTTACTTAAATTAGAAAACTCATACAACTTAACCTACATCCACTTTAACATGTTTTTACTATCATTATATTCCGCTTTGCTATTTTTTATGCACCACAACTATTCGTTTTGTACCTATGATCATGAACACTTTGCAATCTTTATTTTGATGGATTTGCTGTAATTAATTTAGCTTACATGTACTTCAGGAAATCGACTGACTAAAAAATGAACCAATATTATCTTTTTAAGATCACATCATGTTATCATGGAAGGAAAAACCCTGCCAAGATGCAATCCTCTTTTGAAAAATATTCTCAGGCATTGCAAAACAGGACAACCATGAGATGATTAAAAAGTATAGAAAACACAATGTGACAGAAGACAAAGATGGTGCCAATAAGTAAAAAAAAAAAAAAAAAAAAAAAAAAATCATACTCAAGGCAAGTGCATCAAAGGACTGAAAAACTACAAACTTTTGGAAACTGCTCGAATTTCAGCCAAGCTGGCAAACAGGACACCTGTGACAGTCGTCACTATGACATGATGAGGGTGACACTCAGCAGAGATGAGGCCAACAGGCATTACACAGCAAACAGCTGAACTCTCCATATAAGAGAAAAGGCACAGATTAGGCAAGGCAGAAGACATACAGAGAGTGATTTGGTGACAAGAGTTTTCAGGTTTGTTATTTAGAGGTAACAAAAACACCTGCCCCAATAATCATGGAAAAGTTTGACAGTTGTTATACTTTCTCAGAAACTACTTCAAAAAGAATCTATAAATCACCATCTTTAGTCTGTTCTTTGTCCAATCGAGAAATATGTCTGACAAGTTTACCACACCGCTCAGATAGCAAATGATACTTTTCTCATTGTGCAGACATTACTACCATTTACTGCTCTATTCTTTATAGGCCAGTAGTCAAATATTACATTTTTAACATCATGATACAGCTTTTTCTGTTATTTACAAGAAACTTTTTACAACTGACTTAAAGTATTCCTAAATTCTGAAATAATTAATGGTTTTAAAAAGGGGAACATTTATTTCATCAAGCCTTCTTCTGGTGGGGTGTGTCTGAAAAACCTCAGTGGGAAGGTGTCCAGGGGTCGTCCAGAGTCCAATGCCCCTTAGCTTACCCCTCTTGATGTAGAGGAAGAGCCTTGAGCCCCTTCTGAAAGGCTGAGCTTGTTGCATAATGACTAAGTTGGTGTTCTGCCACCCTTCACAGCAGGCTCAAGTCACCTGCTTCAATCTCATTTCTTCGGTTGAGACCAAAATTTTATAACTATAGGTGAGAACAGGAATGCAGATAAAAAAGGTAAGCTGAGAGCTTTGCCATTTGGTTCTCTGAATATTCTGCCATAGTAGGCCTCATCACAGGTGGGGAAGACTCAAAGTAACAACACTGGACCCATAACCTTGTGGTCGGGTGCCAGCAGAACCACCTTCTTATTAATGCAAGGAAAATCAAGGAGCTACTGGTGGACTTTCGCAGAAGCAGAGCCACCCCACTGTCACCAGTTAAAATCCAGGGAAGGGACATTAAGATAGTGGATAAGTACCTAGATGTTCACCTGAATAACAAACTGGACTGGACGCACAACACTGACGCTCTGTATAACAAAGGTCAAAGCAGATTCTTGCTGCTGAGGAGACTCAGGTCTTTTGGAGAACAGGGGGCGATCCTAAAGACCTTTTATGACTGTTGTGGCATCAGCCATCCTCTATGGAGTGTCTGTTGGAGCAGTGGCTTATCTGTAGCTGAGAGAAAGCGGCTGGAAAAGCTATCAGGAAGGCCAGCTCTGTGATTGGATGCCCTCTGGACTCAGTGCAGGAGGTGAGAAACAAAAGCATCCTAACTAAATGTACATCTCTGATGGATAATGTCTACCACCCCATGCATGAATGTAATGCTGAACTGGAGAGCTCCTTCAGCAATAGACTGCTGCACCTTAAATACACCAGGGAGCATTATCACAGATCCTTCCTCCAGCAGCTGTAAGACCCAACAACCTCAATAAGTTGTTACATTTGTGCTGATTTTTAGACAGTCCTGCTAATCAATATGCTGATTTTACAATGCAGAAGCTTAGCCCGCAGTTTACAGTAAGTGATGTAAGAAAACAGTTACTTCAGCGATAGAATAAAGGTGTTACTTTATTGTATCTCTTATAATATATCCGTTGGTTGTGCTGTTCTTTTTAAATCTCTTTGCAGGGGAAGAAGCAGACAAAAGATGTTTTGTTGTTATCTCCCTTTTATCTCTTCATTCTTTCGTCTTTTCTCCTTTTTTTCTGTTTTTCCTTTACTCTTCTACTTACATTGCAGTGTCCATAAAATCTGTAAAACTCCCTGCATAATTATAATAATGCAATTTATATGCATAAATCAAGCGGATCACTATGGCTATAGCCGTACTGCTCTACTTGTGAAAGTAAAATCTGTTGGGCTCTCTTATTGGCATCAAGACAATTGTTCTTATTGCCACATTGCCAGACAGGACACTGTAAAAAAAAAAAAAAAAGGAGTTACACATCTTTTGCCAGTACATGTAAGCTTTCTGCTTTCTACAAAAAAAATAACAACTTGGAAACGTCTGAGGGAGGAGGGGGAAAGGAGGAGGGGAAAGGTAGTGCAAAGTCAAATAGTTTGTCAATTAGCATTAGTTTTATCCTGAAGGGGAGCATTTGTCTTATGAAAAGTATCATTCACCACGGATATGATTAACCTGAACATGGAAAAATAATAGATCCAATAATTCTATAATACGCAATCTTAAATATGAGTTGAAATAATCAATGCTTCTTATTTTCTGATCCATGTATAGATTTTTCCATTTGCGGTATGCTAATGCAAGTATCCCTCTGCCTGCTCTGTGTTTCTATAGCAGGTTTATAACTCCCCCTTTGCGCAGAGCACACAGCTCTATATACACTGTCAATTAAATCTTTTTCAAGACATTTGGGATTCCTGCAGCTGTCCCACGAAGAGGCCTCATCACCATATGTGAAAGCTTTTTGTGTGAAAGAATAACTGAAATTTCATTGAAGATTTCTAACAGTATGGTGGGTTGCTTTTTAAAAGAGTCCAGGTTCTGACTTCACATATGGTCAGTATGAATATAATTAAATGAGAATAGCTAGCACACTTCCAACAGGTGTTTTTGATAAATCTGGAGTGCCAGATGGTTTGTTACACAGATTCTCATTAGAAGATATGGTTGGCCTTTGATTCAGCAAACCATCTGTAGATTATTATTTAAAATAGATTCATACACTCAAATCAACAACACACGATATATAAGATGTTAAAAAAGGAAATGAGAGATAAATACATGAGTGCATCAACTACAGTGGGAGCATTTTGGGGAGATGATTTGTACCTCAGCTGGGGAGATCTGCCTTTTTTTTTTTTTTTTTGAAGGCTTACATATTTCACAGTGATGTATCTCCATTTCTGGATCACTGACCCCTGAACAGGACGTTAACTGGCTATTTCTTTGCTGTTTATTTTTGTGTTAAATTAGCCAATTCTTGGGAAGTTGGATACAAAAAAAAAAAAAGTATGTTAAATTCCAGAATCTAGTTATATTACTATATCCCAATGTATTGGCTGTATAGCATTGTACTAAAACAACCTTCTACTTTGTATTATTTTATATTCTTATCATAAATCAGACACATCATTTTTGTAAAAAAAAAAAATGTTAGGACTGTAAATTTTGCGTCATATGTTTATATTACTGTTTATATATATATATATATATATAGATTTTTTTTTTCTATTTTTCAAGGCTGCTTTAAAAAAAAAAAAAGAGATCCCCCAGAGAGCTGTTCCAAACGAAATTTGTTTTTGTTTTACACTTGTGTAAACAAAATGACTAAGTCTAAGTCTAAATTATGCAAAAATTTCAGTCATAATTTTGTTTTTGTCACCACAGTCAGACAGCATTAAAAGCTCATTATTTTCTATTACTGTAATCTGTATTTTGTAATGTAAGTATCTGACATTCTTAAAACACATCTATGCTGTTAAATGTTTGTTAGAATAAAGAAATCCTAAACAGCATGAACAATGTTTTCAAAGTACTATAAGGTACCATTAAGTAATTATGATTTCTAAAAGCCTTCTGTCTTCTCTTTCTCTTTTCATTTAGGTCATTGATACATTTTAGCTTTCAATCCCAACCTCTAAATACTGCTCCTTGATTGCATCCAATGGGAACCAGCTGGAGGCTCACCAGGGCTGAGGAGGAAAAAGGTAAGAAACCCTAACGCAGCTCAGCACACAACCCTGTGGACCCAACAACATCCTAAAATATATCATGTCTGGAGCTGAGAGTAAACACTGTAAAGTTGGGTGGATTAATGCATGTACAGTTTGGTTATATATTTTAACCCCATTTTCATCCAGCTCCAGTCATAGGAGAGGCCTTGTCTACAAAGGATGTTGTAGATGAGATAGGTAGTTGGTGTACTGCACTATATGCATCTGCAATCATGTGAGCTAAGTGAACATGGCTCATCTCAATGGGAATCTTCTCCTTAACAATCCTGTTTCCATTGTGCTTCTCCTCTTTATATAATGACTTTAGAATCTTCCTAAAAAGTAGGCATTTATATCAGAATCAAAATAATATTGTATACACAAAGGTGCAGGTGTTGACATGTTATGGTTGTCACAGTAGCAGTGATGAATAAGTTTAGTAGAAAATAAAAAAGGATACAGTAGCTAAAGTGATTGAGTCATGCAGTAGAGGTGAAGCTTTAAAAATGAGTTGCTTCAAAATGTTGTAGACCTTGAAGTTGCCTGATTTTATTGCTTTATATAAATATGTAAAGGTAGTTAAATGTATATGTAAGTAAGAAAAAGTAAGAACAACAAAATAATTGTAAAAAAAAAAATTAAACTCGCTTTATTTCTTTTTTACAATATAACCATCCATGTGGTAAACATACTTTACATTTAAATTACTACCTTTCATTTTTTTTTTTTCAAGTATGAATTAGTATCATCTATCCCAGGAAACAGATTTTTATATAGGCAGTGGGCCAGCATATAATCATCATATTTGGAGAAATTTGTAATAAACCTTGAAAATAAACTCACATATGTCCAAAGGGCCTCTGACTATGGTTTCGATAATCCTTACTAATGAAAATTGTATTAATTTCCAACAGATATTAATAATCAATTACCTGCTTGTATGAATGTGGCTGAAGGTAACAGAATTGTGGAAGTCCAAATTGCTCTTTTTTGTTTTATTGGCTATGAAAACAATAATGAGAGGGAAAATAAGGGAAGTACAGAGAGAAATTATGTTATTACAGCATAATAATACAGCATAATTCACATCAAAACGTGAATTAATATTGCAGACAGTTTGAATGTGGGAGAATTTACTTACAAGTTATAAGAAAATGCTAAGCAAAATGCTATGGATTTTTAGTATTTAAGAGTTTTGCTAATCTTTAAACCGAACAAAGAGGCATTACACTGTAATGTTTTCCTATCATCGGGCAATCTCAGCCTCTAACTGAGTCTTAAGGTGACCAGAGGTATCAAGGTCAGAAAAAAAGTATAAATTGAGCACCTATCTAATATTGACTGGGACTGGACATTAAATGTGACTCTTGGTTATCTCCCACAAGCTGTAGGAGTAGTCTCTCCATCTGTTAACTCAAAGCATTCTTTGTGGTTGTAGATAACAAACCTTCTGCAAAAATAATTAAAGCTCATATGTTTTGCTGTATGTGAGATTTGATAGTGATAGTGAAAACATGTTAAAGTGGATGTAGGTTAGCTGTCACAAAGAAGCAAAAAGTTTCCATTAACAATAGTTAGTAAACAGTAGTCTAACTTTCACACTGACTGCTTAGACCACAGAAAGTCCAATTGTTTCAAACTTCAGCTCTTTTACACATTCTTTTTACAAAAATATGTATGCAGGATTTAAAAACAGTCAGTAAGATGACTTTTTGTCACCTGTTTAATGCTCATTTTTTACAAAGTAACAAACAGTCAAGTGTGATTTATTTCTGAATGTATTAAAAACATACTGCTGTACACCTTACCTGATGGAACTCTCTCTGGTGCTGGACGGCCCCCACGTCACCTCCTATGGGCAGCTGCTCCGATAGCTCCTCATCCTTGGCTGTCAGCCATTCTATGATCTCCTGCAGGGAGAGCTGCAGCTTCCCGCTGTTGTCAGAGAAAGCTTCGAGCCGGGCCCTGTCAACATACATACACATAGTGAAAGGATTAGCAAACAATTTCCAAAGAACCAGCCAGAAGATGACATGAAGTCATTGCTTCCCACCCAGAATGAAAACATAAAGCTCACTCTATTAGTTTTTTTTATATCTATTATCTTTTATTTTACAATACAGGTTAGCTTAGTTTTACAGAGTTTCTAGCAGCACTATTAAACTACTATCTTCTCGAAATTTAAAGTAAGAGACTGAATTTACAGCTTTAAACAGATGTACTGTTAATTTAAGGGCATTAATCCTGCTAATTTGGAGCTTTCAAATATTTATTTTAAAGACTAACTGTTACTCAACAAACTACTTTTATGGAAAACAACAAATAGTTACACAAAACTGGATGTCAAATCCAGATATATTAAACCAGGTACATTTGTTCATAACTGTCTTTAATGTCTTAACCTGATAAGGTGTAGGATCTTGTGATGACCACAGAGTGCAGCTCTTTGCAAACATAAAAAGCTTGTCTTTGACAGGATTAAAAGGAAAGATCTATAACCAAAAAATTAATTAATGGAACATTCTAAGGTCGTGTTACAGCAGAAGGGAAAATGTAGAATCACATGTTTGGAAAATCCTTTGGAGTCATTTCAGTTATTTATTTATTTTTCTCCAGTTTATTTTTTGTTAAAAAATGTGAGGTGAACAGCATCCACATAAAATGTGCATGGACAGTAAAGATTAAAAATAGACTTTTTAAATACAAAGAAAATAATTCAGGTGAGGATTTTAATTCCAAGAGGGCTGCAGCATCTGTAAAGCAGGGTGATCACAGTAGCATCCTGTGGGGATATTCTTTTTTACTTTTGTATTGCACATAGTGGGTTGAATAATGACACTAGGACCTTCACTAAATTAAAAAAAACCTGACCTCTATCCAAAGTGGTTGAAAATTATAACACAATTGGATCACAACTTGACATTGTTCCCAAACACACATTTAAATTTGTTTAGGGAATAGGAGTTGGCCATTACACTTCTGGAAGGGTCTCCCTAAAACACTTAGGGCCGGATCTATCAAAGGTTTGCGTGTATTAAAACGTGAGCTATTTCACTGCGCACGCTAAAAAATGTACAAACTGATCTATCAACAGTGTGCTAAAAGGATTTGGTCTTTAAAACGTGCTAAATAGCGCCTCTTATCCATTTAGTACTTTTTCTGCAATGAATATGCAATATGGGGCGTGTACACGCAAAAGTGCGTCTTGTGGGAGGAGAACATGTAAATATATTAATTTAGCACTCGCAAAGTGATTTATCAAACCTAAAAACAATTTTGCTAACGGTATCTGACTCTATATTTAACACGTTTCAAAAGAAGGTGCAAATGGTCTGTATGCGTAATTGCGCACACATGGCAGCGGTTATTGTCGCAAGAAGGAGACATCGAAATGAAGCAAGGAGACGCAGAGAACGCATTTTTTCACTCCGTGTGAATATTTTTGGAATGAACGAGGAAACGATCATCAAAACATGTCGTTTATCCAGCATTGCCATTTTGAAGCTGTTGGGGGAACCGAATGGATTTGGAGCCAGCCACAAGGAGGACCCACGCAATACCAGATATCACAAAACTCCTTGCAACACTGCACTTTTTTGCATCTGGGTCATTCCAGCGTACGGTTGCAGCGAGAGCTGGGATCTCCCAATCTCGTTTTTCAGAAGTGCTGTCCGAAGTGCTGTCCGACGGGGTCGGGGTTCTCCACCTGCGCCTGTGGAGCAACATGCCAATGCTGCGGGGATGCGTAATCTCATCCACAGTCACTTCTTGTGAGCCATTTGGTATGTGCATTTTTCTACAGGCCAATACAAAACACCTGTTTTTTTTTTTTTTTTTTTTTTTTTTTTTACTGCAGTGAAGTAGAAATTCAGCCACATACCACCTTAGGGAATAAAGGTTGCCAAAGTTTTTTCTTTATATCACTGTAAGATTTAAATTTCTTAATGCACTAGTTTGTAGAAACTACAAACTACTTTGCCGCAAACCACAAAACGCGCAAAACCATCATTTAAATAGGGTGTCTCCAACAGTTTTGCACCTGCCACCAGTTACGCAATCGCTCTTGTTAAATCACCCGCAAACCATGGTTCAGCCCCTCGCGCAAAATTCCAGTTTGCGAGCGCAAATTACTGCACGCAAAATTGGATCTTGATAAATCCGGCCCTTAGTGTTACTGGATTATTGTAGACCCTGCTTATAGACTACAGTAGGTCCATGCAAGCATATCAAGCAATTTCAGTGAGTTGAACCATTTTTGCCATGCATGGAAGAAAATTGTTGATCTCTTCAAAAAGAAAGTGATTGAAGTCTACATTTGTAAGAAAAATGTATCTTAATATTAGTAAAAAAAAAATATGAATTTTGTCTTTGATAAGAGAGAAATGCTGCCAAACTGTCCTGCTGTCTCTACTAATAGCTGTTTGGCTTTGGCAGTTATGTTTTGGTAAGTTCTCTATGGGTGAACACACAGGGGCGCAGATAGGTTTTTGAAACTGTGGGGGACAGTTACTATAGGGCTTGGTCATCGTGACGTAAGCACTTCGCGTCGCCGCCATGTTGAATGCGTCTTTTACCGCAGCTCAGACTACTGCCTATGACTACCGAATACTGTACTCCCTCTCAGCCGTGTTTTAATTTGATTAATTTCACCTTAACTTGATTAGTTAAGCATGGTAAACCGTTGCTGTATTGTGGGCTGTAACAGCTCAACACATGATCGCCATGGAAACATAGAAAATGGGTTAACTTTCCACCGCTTTCCTGCCTGGAGGCGTAACCATGGAGACCAAGCGTCAGAGATAAAGAGTCGTCGGCTAGCTTGGATCGCGGCTGTAAGTCGACCGAACATAACTTTCCACAGTATTCCAATGTCATTGAGAGTGTGTTCCCTGCATTTTCATTCTGGTAAGTTAAAGATGCACGGTTTTATTTTATAGCCTTCATTGTTTCTTTCCTTCAAAGTTGGGATCTTTTACGGGAAAATAATAAAAACGGCAGCGGGAAAAGGCTCAAATACGTGAGAAACCCGGAGGGTTGGCAGTTAACGTTACTAACTACACCTTTGAAACACATAGCAGCTAGTTAAAAGTACATTACATGCGTGAGTGGTTGTTAGCATTAGCGGTTAGCAGTTGCTAAACTAGCAGGTTCCAGAGCCCGTCTGATCACAGCTTACCTTCGTACGGATTACTGTGTTCCCACTGTTTGCTGGCTTTATGATCTGCAGCTCCTGAACCCATCCATTCATGAACTGCACATGAGACTCCAAGGACGTGTAGCTTCGGAACTGTTTTGAAGTATAGGCGCTCACTCATCGGTGCTCCACTCATTGTTTGGAACTTTATATGGATCCAAATGATTAACAATGCTGATTTTGTCACCATACCGGTCCCTGGCTTCTCTATTTAATGTGTCCCGGTAAATTCCAGATCCTTTTCGGGATTTTAACATCTTTTTTCTCTCTACTTCTGTCTCTTCTTTCAACAACAACGTTGTGTCAGAGCTATGCTTACGTTTGCGTAGCAGTCAGTATGGCTGCGACGTCCCACAATGCAACATGGATCCCGAGCCCTATTACTGGCTATTACTCAGCTATGACAACCCATCAATCTTAATTGCCCATCATTGCAAGAAAATAACATGTATTGGTACCAAGTACTCACCAAACATGCCACATGACGTGTGAAAAAAAAAAAGGTTTTATTTAAACATGGACTGACTTTAAGTGCAGGCTGTAAACACACAGAAACACGAACAGCAAAGCCTACATATATACAAAAACAAATTTGTAAATAAGTACTTTACATGGCTTTTCAATAAATGGCCTCAAATGAAGAAAGTTGTGTGTCTACTTTGTCAAGGACTCTGTAGAACTCCACTCTGTGGTACTCCACAGCAGATTCTGGCCTGTGTGCAGGTGCTGGCCCAGAATATCTCTTTGGGGGCCTATGTGTTCGAGGTAGAGCAATGGGCTCTAGAGACAGCTTCTCAGCCATATCCACTGCTTCCTTAAAGACTGCCTCAAAGTGGGCTGGCTTTCTTTTGTCCCGTAATCTCTCTTGGACAACTGAGACTGCAGAGACCATGCCCTCCAATGTCTGGGTGCTTTTTTGGAGCGATGTATTCAGCACTTCCAGTTCGCTCATTACATCTAAGGCCAGTGAGCCCCAGTAGCCCCAATTTCAGTAAAATCTCAGGCTTTTAAATGTTGTAAAATCACCCATAAGTTTTAGGCGTTTTAGTCCTTTATAATTAAATTTATACATTCAAAAAACATAAGGAAGTTATTATCAACGTCTCACTCTACTTTACAGCTTTGTATTAACATTGCTTTAATGTGTGTTATTGTGTACAGCTGGGGATGTTAAGGGCCACGTTAATTATAGATTAAATAATTTACTGTTCTGTAGTTTAAGCAATTGTCATATTTGTAACATCACTACTCTTTCCTGTGACATGCACCTTTTATTTATTTATATACACACACACACACACACACACACACACACACACACACACACACACACACACACACACACACACACACATATATATATATAGATATGAGAGAGAGATTCTTTCCTCCGAGTTACAGTGACATAGACAAACTTGAAGATACATGACATCCTCAAATTTCTATTCTATTAAAATTTCTGTATCTGTATAATGGGTCTGTTCTATATGTTGTCTTCTCAATTCAGAGGGCCCCATGCCTGTCTTTGCCTAGGGCCCCAAAGTTCCTAAATCCGCCCCTGTGTAGTGGAATTTGTCTAGCTTTGAAGTTCGTTTTTCTCATGATTCAACCTGTAACAACCTAAACCATTTGGCTTGGCATAAATACGGATTCAAGTAGCCTACTGTAGCCTACACATTTCTGAAAGACCCCCAACAACTCCAGAAAAAGTCGGAACAGTCGATTTAATTATAAATAAATAAATGCCAGTCGATTCCCCCTGCCTCCCGCC